AAAACCATAACTTTCATTCACTCACTGAAGTTTCCTTTTTGGATTTATAGCTATGCATTTTGGCAAAAGTGGGGGTTTCAAAGACTGTGGGTAAGTCTAATAAGACATATGGATGAGAGAAATCCTTCCCAGCATATTTGTCATTATCAGCTGTTTTACTTTATTGATGTCAGAGGAAGTGTAGTTTATTAAAAAAGTCCAGGGAGCTTTTAGTTTGTCAACATGCAACCAATATTTTACCATCTCACTCAGCACAAATTTCAGAGTGCTGAAGAGTTAAAAGAAGTTTTGAAATAAAAAAAAACAAAACAAAAAACATCCTTGCACAGTGGGCACAACTTTTTGGTTGGGTTGAAAAACCTACCCACTTGCTGTCTAATCTTGCCTGCATTGATCAGACCCCCTGCTCATGCACGCTGAAGCTTCCAAGCTCAGCAGGCCATCTGTAGCCTAGTATAGCTGCTGAACTTGCCTGGGCTTTCATTTATGGTGAAGAAGCAAATGATGCGGGAGTGTAAGCCCAAAGAAAAAGGAAGCTGTTTCAGTTGACTTATCAACCGAGCTGCTACTTTCACACAAGGTCGTTGTCTCAACATGAGGAGTCCAATAAAGTCAGTCACTTGCTGTTCTGCTTGGAAGCCGTAGCTGTCACATGGAGCATCTGCTCACTGTCCGGTTTAAGATGCCGGTGTGATGTTCACTGATCAATGTTATTACCATCTGCAAATGTACCATAATGTTCCCATCAGTCACAATATAGCTGAACTTTATTACTTCAGGAATTGCATGTTTACATAACGTAGAGTTTTAATAGTGTTTAAAACAAAGACAGAATATGTTTTGTTCACGTTCCCCAATCTTCAGAGCTGAGATTTCACTCCTTCTCTTATCTGTACTGTACATCAGGTTTTATCAGGACACCAATAGTTTATTTTGTGCAAAGTGATATTGTGAAGTTGCTTTATAATTTATTATTGCAGTGACCTGCTATCCATGGGAGAGCCAACAACTCTGACTTCAAACAACCTAGCTCCAGCACAACATCTGGTCCACGAGGAAATGTTGCCTTTGTTAATGAAGTGATATAAATTGATGTGGCAGACAAAAGCCTCTGTACATTACGTGTCGCATCGAGGTGGTATTGAAGTATAAGAGGATGTGCTTTCCTGCAGGCTTTTGTTGCTGTAAACAATGTAATGGAAATAGACAATTCTTTCTTTATTACAAGTGTTAAATGATGCTGTTTAATGTGTGGTGCTTTTTATCGAGTGAAGTTTCATACTTTATGCCACACCAGCCCCTGGGGTCTTTGAATTTGCTTTCTAAGCTGTGCGTGTTTTGTTTTTTTTATTTCTTGAAAGGCATTCGCTGCCACATTGTTAACACTTTGGTGGTGTTAATATCTTGCAGACAGGTGTTCTCACCCCTCTCCTCCCAACTCGTTTGTCTTAGCTGTGACATTGTCACAAGTTATCACTAATTCGAATATCACCATCGCACAAACTGTTGATGTCCTACAAAATGTGAAACTCGATTCTTCATAATTAAAGCTGCTATAATCATTTTTTTTCATATTAACAGTGGATCGTGTGACTACTTTTTTGCAAAAGGTGACATTTATACCAATGAACGCAGAGAATTCTGAGCCAAATCTGCAGATTCCCTCAGCTCTACAGCCTTAGAGTCATCAGGTGGGCACGAACATGACCCCAAGTGAATGATAATGTTGCTCCATGTCTGCTGGATGTGTAAATTAGCAGTGATTTGTGAGCACGTTTGCCATATCATATAAGGTGACAATATATCAGTGTTGTTTACAGCTTGTTGCGGTTGCCTCCAAATGGCCAAAAAATCAGCTAATGTAGATTTGAAGGAAAACAAGGGGTGAATAAAGCTAGTCTGCCAGTCTGTTAGTCCACAGGCTTATGATTTCAAATTGTCAAAAGGGTGAGTCACCTGTGTAACAAAAAAACAACCATTTACCCAACAAGCACTGGACATCTGACATACGTGGCCATTTTTTGATATGTCATATTTGTCTTTAATATTAACATTCTAGTCAGTAACTCCTGTAACAATTGCGTTTATGGAGTCATCCATCTGTTTAATTGCTGTGGCCAAATGTGATGACAGTTTTATTGATGAGGCAACTTAATTCCAACAGCCGATAAGGCTGGATCAACGGGTCGGTGAGAGCGGGAATGAATTGTAATGCATACTCTGTCGCTCCTTTCATTTGTTCATCCTTCAATAACAGAATCCCTCCCTTCTGCTTTTTTGATACCTCTATCCCACCCCTTCTCATCTTCATACAACCCATTCATTTCAAACCAGTAATCTCTTCACCTTAAGCCCTTTAAGTCACCATTAAGCCTCCATTCATTCTTACATAATGATCAAATTCATCCCAGTCCATTTACCTCCAAGGTGTAAGGTTTACAAAGGATTACAGGTTGAAAAATCAATTTGCTTGCTCTTGGATGTCAAGTAATCCAGTTTGGAGACATGTTGGTGCTACTGCAGTCTATTGGGCCATGTGCTACATGGTAGCTGACAACGCCGTTGTTGAGATTCAAAGAGGAAAAATATGCTAATACATAGGGCATTATTATTTAAGGCATGTCATTATCCAGTGTATGGTTTAAAGAAGAGCCTTTGTCCGGTGATTTCAAATAGCAGTTTAATGGCTTTTTTGACATGCTGAACTTCAAACACCTGTTTCACACAGAAACATCTACAAAGTGAATATTGTATCACTGAACTGATGTGTTAACTGCAGCCATGGAGCTTCACCTTCAACATCCCTCACAACACGGGAAATGTTTCCAGCCAGCAAGAAGGTGGATGCAAATTACATCAGACTGTAATCTTGGATCCTTCCCAAGTAAATGCATAAAGTTAATTGCCATACAGAGAGGGAGGGGGGGGGTATAATTTGCCCTAATTTTCAGACTGCTGCGGGTTGTTTTATTGTGTATGACAGTGTCCATGAGGGTATGACTTTTGGAAGGTATAAAGGCCATTTTATTGGAAGACCATAAATCTCTGCAACCCAGTCTGGACAGTTGGTACCATAGCTATAACAAGCTTTGTGGATTATCTCTGAACTAGCCCCCATATTAAAGGTTTCATACATTCAGCACAAAGTAATGGAAGAGTCAGAGTTTTCTTAGTCAGCTTATTCAACAGAGGGCAGATAATTAGGAAAGAAACCAAAACTGTAAAGTTTAAATTGCATTATTAACAGCAATAGTTCCTTTAGAGACCTTTACTGTGTGGTATATGATTTAATGCCTATAATACATAAATGGATATATCATGCAGGTAAAGACATATGCAGTATAATAGAAAACACGATTTGTTGATTAATTGATCAGTAGATCCACAGAGAATTAATCAGCAGCTGTTCTAATAATCATTTGATCATTTTTAAGCAAGAAAAAAAAGGAAAACATTACCTGCTTCGAGCCTCTCATTTTTCAGCATTCATTCTTTATCTTTAGCTTCATTGGCTTTGGTGATTCTGTTCACTGATGCAGGAATTAATCACATCACAGAATAGAATCAGATAGGGAGTTGGGGGTAAGGGTTATGTTTGGGATGGAGCACTTGAAGACTGGTGTTTTGTTTTCATGAATCAGAATGTGATTGTGTTTTTTGTGGCGTTGCACCAGTGAAGTGTATCAGCTGACAGTGAGCTTGGAAAAATGTGAGGTTTTCGAAATAGTTTTTTTCAGCTAAATGATGGAGTTGATTGTATGTAAGTGACCTGGAAATGTGAATGCAGCATGCATACTGTATGTTACTGTCACAGTTCAGTTTCACTGAAGCAATTAGGTTTGAGAGGGGGCAGGCAGGCTTTTATCTAGCAGACATGAGGAGGATGGCCTTGTTTGATTTGAGCGAATGCCTAGAAAACGACTGCTGGGTGGAATTTCTACAAACTGTGCGAGCAGGGTTTTTAACAAAGAAGTAAAAATTTCTTGTTTACTTTTCATAGTGAATGTCACCCCAAACACTCACAACCCTTGATAATTAGAAGATAGCTATGAAAAGCTGAAGAGGATGCCCAGAGAAGCTTCCCAAGAGAGCTGTATGATGTGCAGGTTTTATGTTTGCAGAATGCAGGGAGGCCATTGCTTGAGGGATTCATTTGTGTAAAGGGTGAAGGGCACAGTAAGAACAACTGTTTTTGTGTCCAGGACTGTTGAAACAGTTTTTTTTTTTAAAAGATACAACCCTTAGAAAAATACATGCTTTTGGACTGAAGTTGTTATAATACTTAATGTATTACTGAAGAAACAGTATATGTGTATAAACATGACTATGCAGCAGTAATCGCATGCATATACAAACACACTGGCTTTGATTTAGGTTGTGATATTTGCTGAGGAAAAGAGTTCCTCTTCAAATTAAACAGGCAAATAGAAATGACTACAGTGAGCCATTTGTTAATATCTGGAGTAATTTACAAGACATCTTGAAATCTGAAGCTTTTCATGTGTATTAAGTAAAGGCCTGTGTATTGTAAACTACATACGACCATGACACTTTTTACGATCCTCCTCAAGAAGGGATGTCCATGATTTTTATGAGGTCTATATCTCTGTGCCTAGAATGAATTAGAGTGTTGACTGATTTATTCAGTCACTCATAGCTAACCTGTGGTGGCATTTGCCGGTGGTCTGCCGAGTGTTAAAAATCATTATAGCATACATATGCGATGAGAATATGCACAAAGTTTAGCTTTCCAACAAGCGGGGCAGTGGGCTGACATACATCAGGGATTTGTTTGGGATTTTAATAAAGCCTGTCAGGGACTCTAAAAGACATGCGTGGACGGCTCGGCTCTTTTGTTGTGGTGTAGGTATGCGACACTTTAATGCTGCTGGTTTTTTGTCTGTTTTTTTTTTTTTTTTTTTTTTTTTTTTTTTTTTTTTTTTTTTTACCTGATGATACAATCCTGCGAAGCTAGTAATCTGTTTGATCTCTTTTTGTAGGTGATCCTCATGTTGACAAAATACTACGACTTCAACTCTGGCAGAGTAACAGAGAGTTCTTTATGGAGGTAAGATCTCCTGTCTGTTACATCTTACATCTACAGGAGCTGCAACAAAACAAATAGATGTTACATTTGTTTAGTAATGACTTAACCCCAAAGTTTTTTTGCTTTTGAAGAATCCTCTTTAATAGCTCAAAACAGAGTTAATATTGTGCTGTCAGCTTGATGACATTTATTAATTATGTGAACTGTGAATAGTTTTATCTGTGTGTGAAATTCTCAGAGCTTAGTTGGACGTTTGTTGTTGGAGCATAAATTCAGTCACAAATGGATAACATACTGCACATTTCTTTGTCTTTGACTATTTGGTAAACAGAAGCAACATACTGTATATACAGTATATATATATATATATATATATATATATACTGTATATTTTGTTATTTTTTTGGGGGGGGGGGGCTGTTTAGGAGGTGTCGATTCACCGGTATGATCATTTTGGAGGATGTAGTCTGTGTTGCTGCTGAACTACACTACGTTATGGTGACAAGTGTTCCTATTATTTTGTCCGCCCCATTCAGATCAGTGAGAGTAGGCTTAACAACAGACACACTTTGTCTTTATATAATTCAATACAGTTCCACAGCAGCATAATTTGCAGGCTCCAAAATTAGCATACAGTTGATTTAACACGTCTTTAACACAGTTTCAACAAAAACTTTTAACATTATAACCTTCATGAAGGAAGATTTATGCGGTGTTACATATATAGGTGTTCCTAATAAACTTACAACTGAGTGTATAACATCTTAAACGTGAAATATGTCCCTATTTGGTGCAATAACAATAACACCGCTTTAATGTTGTCACCTTCATCATTTTGCAAGCCCAGTTTGTGGCAAAAGGAGGAGTTACAACTTCAATATTCTTCTATGTATTGATTTTTATAAGGCCATAATAAAAGAAAAAATATTTGAAGAGGAAAAAGTGGTTGATTTTGCAATTATTAATGTTTTTTTTTACACATACAGTAGCGGGTTCTGTGAGGCTCCAAACAATGAGGAAGTAAATCCAATATCATCAATATACAAGGGTTAAATAAAGAATAATGACAACATATTTCCCAATAAATATGCCCATAAAAATTGAAAAATACAGGACATTTTATATTGCAGTATATAACATTTCATGGTCCTTTCTGAAATGTCAGAAAGCAACTGGGACCAATATCTATTTTGGTGACAGTGAATGACCTCCAAAATGAACTCAGCAAAGAAAAGCCATTTTCTGCAGGACAGTCAATATTTTCAAGTATATCTCTGGTCTTGAGAAATTTTCGAGACACCCTGCCGTTGTTTTTTTTTTTTTTTTTCAGCCAACAGGCAAATAAATCCTCCAATCCTCCATTTGAGTTAAAAAAACAGGGAAATCACAAACCTTTGAATTACATTTTTACCCCAAAGCATCAACAATGATAATGATAACAATGATAATAATAATAATAACTATAATAGCTCATCCTCTCGCCATGCATACCACACAGGATATTCTTGTTTATTTTGATAATTAAAAAAATCTCCATCCATCTAGCAAATTGCCTCATGACTACTGCTGTTGCAATTTTCTGCTTGCCTGATATGCTTAATGATACCATCAGCATCATAACTACTAGGTGTTGTTCAGTTCTCCTTTACTTTCCACCACAACCTATTTCCTTTATCCTATAATTGAATTTTAGGTCAACTGATTATGGGACCACATATGAGAAACTTAATGAGAAAGTTGGGCCAAAAACCATACTGAGCTACTTGTACGTAAGTCCGAACAACAAAAGGAAGGTAGGTTCCCACGTGCATGTTATGAAAAGTCCTGCCTGTGTTAATTAAATCTGTCAATTGTTATCACTGTGTCGCAGAGTTATTATCATTTTCACTACATAGCAGCCCCGCAGGAGTCTGCACCATGTGTGTGTTACAAGCAGCACATTGCACAAGCACACTTAAGCCCTGCGGAATGGATGCTGTTGAGGTGGGCTGCTGATTCCCCCTGTCTCCTTTCTCGTCTCGTCTCAGATCATGTTACTGACCGACCCGGAGGTGGAGAGCAGCCTGCTCATTAGTCTTGACGAGGGGGCGTCCTATCAGAAACACAGCTTAGCCTTTGATATCCTCAGCCTGCTTTTTCACCCGGAGCAGGAGGACTGGATTTTGGCTTACAGCCACGACCAAAAGGTAGCGTGTAGCTGTCGGGTGGCATGAAAAAGTTGGAATAAAAAACTGAATATGTGACAGGAAAAACAAAATCTCTGGATGGAAATAAGGGTTGTTGTGTCTGCTTTACTTGCTCCCTTTCATGCTTTTGTTAGCTTGGTGTAGAGGCTCTGCCACCTTATTCTGTTGGATTATATATCACAAGGCTAGTGGGTCGCAACATAAGTAATATCTCTATAAAATGATACAAACCATAGGTTGCTGTCATGGACAAAAGCATTTATTTTGATAATAGTGCCTAGCTGTTAAGAACATGGTCTTCATGAGCGGAGACATCTACCACTTAAGTCAAGGCTGCAGTTGCCAAAACAGAGGCAACTGATCACCTGCTCCTCTAAACAAGTCATAAGGTCTGGCTGCATAGCCTAACTTTGAATGGATGTGTCCTAGACAGCACAGGGGAAGGTTAACAAGGGAGACACGCCCAAACAATTCCCAAACTTGCTCGCTCGCACGCACGCACGCACGCACACACACACATAATGGCGAGCATAAACCCACACATCCTTCATTACTCTTTGTGAGAACCCTGCTGTCTGCTTCACTCAACACCTCAGATATCAAACTCGGCCTCCACAGCCTGCTATTGGAAGACTTGATTTTCAGAGAGAAGAAAAGTCAAGGTCTGAGAAGTGAAATAAATGGTGCAGGCAGTAAGATGAAAGCTTAGCTGAGAGCCATCGACAGGTCAAAATAAAGACGCTCCACAGAAGTTTGCCTTCAGGTCATTCTGTATTTCTTTGCTAAATTCACCAATCTAACAGCTAAATTCCATTAGGTTTTTCTTTCCTTTTATCACTGCTAGAATAAAATTAATATCAGCCTGGTTTCATTTTACATTTATTGATTGTCTGTCATGTCTTAAAAGTTGTAAGCTCTTAGATAAGTCAAAATAATGTTGCTTAGCATTGTAAAGCTCTGAGCTTAAGACGCTTGCTGCTTGATCATTATAGCAACGTATGACAGGCCTTGTGAATGCTTGTTTCATACAATGGCAGTGAAATGGGATGGGTGATTTTATAAAGGCAGTCAGGCTGAAATTGTTCAATCACTGTAAAGAGACACTTTGATTTTAACACAGATGCCTACTTGTATGACCTCCCTTCTCTTTACTACGCATCAAAGCAAATAATCTTTTCTGTTTTATTTTAAAATCATGGCTTAGCATCACTGTGATTTTAGAGGAACTGATGGGTTTTCTAATCACTGATGCATCTTCACATAAAGTATGTGCTCAGTTGTGGAATATTCAAAAGAATATCAACATATTGAAACCACAAAATCTACAACTTTGATGACAGCTACTTGATAACACAGTTGTACATAAATCTGGAAATAATTATCTTGGATATTCTGACTTGGAAAATTATTCTATATACTGTAACTCATTTGGTTAATGCATTCCTCTCATTTTCAGCTCTATGTCTCTGTTGAGTTTGGGAGGAGGTGGCAGCTTGTGCATGACGGCGTCGTCCCCAACAGATTCTACTGGTGAGGTCATCAATCAATCATTTGCAGTGTTTGTCTTTCTGGGGGTGAAATGCTGCAATACGAATAATTGACAGTAGACAAAATACAATTATACATTGATATATTAACTTGTATGTACTTTGTATGCACAGGAATAGTATGGAGGGGGGGGGGGTTCCCAGATTCTGTGTACCGATGTAATTGAAACATGAGTAAAGAGTGACCAGGGTACTGACTCATACTGCATTAATATTAATATTGATATTAATAATAGCATCTCATTTCCAGCAACAACATGAATTATTGAGTCACATTTAAACCTGTTAAGAAGTCCGGCATGCAGTCTCAAGAGTGCTGAGAAAAAATGAAATCAAAAAAATGGTTGCTATTATAAGAAATACTCAGATTCTTTACTTAAATAAAAGTACCAATACAGAAATGTTAAAAAAAAACTCCATTATAAGTAAAAGTTGCATTTAAAGGAGCTATTTGTTAGTTTTGCTATTGCCACATTGTCAACGTTAGCATTAGCAGCTTATTAGTCCAAAACAAATGTTGCGAGTTCAGTGTCAAGCTTCATTTCTTCACACATCTACTTAGTGAGGCATGTGCGTAGTAGCAGGATGAATGGATCCGAAGTAGCAATTAAAAAATGCTGCACACTGTCTGACTTGCAATAAACAATTTCTTTGTAACATTTCAGCGCTAGACCTTAATGATGAAGATCTAACAAATTGTTTATTGCAAATCAGACAGTGTGCGGCATTTTTTAATTGGTGCCTCTATTTCTGTCACTTCTTTTCCTGTACTAAAGTTAGCATGCTAACCAGCTTGCCCTGGTCTGGTCAGCCTTTCTCATCACTTTCCAATACAGTCACTGTAGCATTGAGGCATTGAGTAGGTTTGAGGCTGCCCTGAAGCAAGAGCCCTGCTCAGCGGATGTATTATAACCTTTTGTCATGTAAATGCAATGATAGCTGAAGCTCTTTGGTAAGACTGCAAAATAAATCAGCATGGTAATGCTAATGTTGGATATGTAGCAATAGCAAAACTGGAAAATAGCTCTTTCAAAAGTTCATTTTAACACTATCAGAACTTAGAAGTATCCAAATTAAAATTACTTGGCCCTTTTGACTTATGACTGATCATATACTACGTTATTATTAAATTGTTAATATTAATGCATCAATGCATAAGCAGCATGGAGAGGAAATGCTGGCTACATCTGAAATGTGTGACAAGGGGTCCCATGTAGACATTGCTTTTTTGTATGGTGTTTTGTATTGTATTTATATGAGTAAATGTCCTGAGTTACTTTCCACCACTGATCACAGCAAAGGTAAAAACGGTATTAAGGAAGTATCATTACACATTTTAATCCCAATTGCTTTTAAATGAATTTCAAACCAGGCAGAGATCGAATTGATAAATAATTTATGATTCCTTTTGTTGGTTTTTCTAAGTAATGCACTAAGCCTCTAGTTTACACATACAGAGTAATATTAGATGTGTGGAATGCAGTCTGCTTATGAAATGTTGTTGGGATAGTGTGTCACAAATCGAATCATATCCAAACATTACCCATTTTCATTTCTTTGGGCTGTCTCCTTGAGCGTTTTAGTGTTATTAGTGGTTAGGTGCTGGTACAGGGATTATGGCCCAGGATAAATCCTTAATTTATAATGGTTTTTATAGTTGTTGGCTACGAAATCCTTTTCACACTCATATCCACAGAATTAAAAAAACAGAACCATGGATTAATGAAGGAGGTTGGAGTGACCTACGGTGGAGAGTTATAAGTGTTTTGCCTTGGTCTGGGAAATACAACGCGCCAAAATGTTAGTAATATGAGTGTGAATAAAAATCACTGGAGGGAAGAGGTGATGACTAAGTAGATATTAGACAAAACAAAGCACATAGACTATCTCTTGTTTAATGAGGCAGATATTTTTATCCTCAAAGGAACGTGGATGTATGACACTCATTTCTTGTGGAGGTTGAAGAGTAATCATGCTCCGGCGGTGCTAATTAATCTTTCCTGATTTATTCAGACAAACATCTGTGGTACACATTGAGTTAACTGTACAGTTCAAGATTGCAGCATCTGCATTAAAAAAAAAAAAAAAAAGTCTGCATGAAATAAATCCATAGTAACGACTATTAGTGAGTTTCTATTGGTGTGTGCTTAGTTAGTTAGGTATATTGTTTAGTGTGTATTCATGCACATGCAAGTTTCTGCCCACATGGATCCATAAGACACCAAACATACAGACGCAGTGGTGAAACATTTGTTAGATAAGGGCATAGATTCTTAGATACAATATTACATATTTCAAATAAAGAACTGCCACTGAAGCACTGATAATAAAATATGGCACAAAAAACTCAAGGTTTTCATAATCATCCACCCAGCAGAGCTCATCAGAAATGCACAGAATTGTAGCCCTTAAATCATTGTATAATGAGCAATAAAGCACAAAATGTACCTCATTCTCAATCTCACCCAAACCACATAACAAAGCCCTTTCTCTCCGGTCTCTGTAGCTAATGGTAATGTACCTGGGCTCAACTGTGCACATAAAGATCTTTGACTCTGCGTCACATAAGGCTCTACACGGTGGCTGCAATTCAGGTCATAATGTAGTTTTGTGCCAAGAATTTCTTATCAGGAACAATTTGCACAGAGCACCATGATTACACTGCAGAAAATATAAAATAAATAATGATAATATTAAATTAAAAAATTAAGATTTCACCTCACCAACTCAGGGATGTTCATGCAAAATTTCCCAGTTAAAGATCTTTCTAGTGAGCTGCTGTCCACAAGCGAAGTATAGTACATTTACAGTATCTTTAATATCAACATACAGTATACCATATATGTCCAATCATATTTACAGTTTGAGTCAATATGCTAAGTAAGGACAGTAGTGTGTGAGATTTCTTTAGCAGCATCCGGAAATTGAGAGTGTTAGAAGATGATCAGTCAAAAGCCATATTTTTGATGTTCAAGTATGTAATACACTTCCTTTTGTCCCTCCAGGAAATAAATCAACCAGAACATCCCCACACGATCAGAGATTCACCATGAAAGAATTACTTTCATCCCTTCCTGCACTGCTCATTGTGTCTGAAAAGAAAAAAAAATCTGACAAACAAGATTTACAAAAACATGTTAACAGGCACCCTCGCTAGGCTGACGTAGTGGTATGTGTTAGTTATGGGGGGAACACAGTGTAACATTGCAGGGGTTTATTTAAGAGCAAGCGCTGCTGCTCACTGATAGAATTGGATGAAGTGTTTGACAGAAAGTCCATTAAAAGAGATGGAGCTTTGAGGCAATTACAGAGTGCTGAGGGAAGCAGGACGGGGGCTTTTTATATTATAGTTCAGACACGGTATGGAAAATGAGAAGAAACCCATCTTGTGTCACAACAGCTGCTATTAATATAACAAGTGGTCACTCCTGTCGCTCTGCTCATAACAAATATTATGAAGAATCTCTATTAAAACTGAATGAAATGGCAAAGTACACCTTATCAATAAAGAGCGGTGCAGGTCAAATGTCCATCAGGCCAGTGTTTATAGATAAGGTTGTTGTGTTATTGCAATAAAGAGAGAACAGTAAAGATCCAGGCTGCATCTCTTATGTCCCATGTCCCCTCGCAAATTCAAAATGAAAATCATACTATTATGTAAACCACAAATATTTAAATAAACAGAAAAATTAATTATTTCTGTCAGCTGTGAACAATTTTCTCAATTTTCTTTGTTTTGGTTATAAATATTTACACAGCATCACTTTATCAAAATAAACCATGGGGCAGCAGCATATAGTTGATAAAACTTTTTGCCTTAATGCCTCATTAAGCCAACTTATTCTGAAATGAATAACAAGAAAAGTTAAAATTACAAAACAAATTCTCTATAACCAAGTCTATACAGCATCTTATACTGCATCCTGTATAATCGATGGTTTCAATTCTGGGGGTCAGAACCACGGGAACCTTGATAAATATGAAAGGTCAGAGATAATTAAAGGAATAAGAAAGAAAAATTACAAATAATTTCTCTATCTTTCTCTAAGTTTGACTTTTTTCAAGTTATTATTATTTTATTACTACTAGTTTAAATGATTAAAATCAGGTTGAACCATTAACACATAAGGAATGTCTTATCCAAAAGTAACATAACTGCCAAATATGAACATTTTTATCCATGTTAAACTGCTACTCTAGTAGTATCTATACAGTTTATGCAGGATGAGTGGTTTTATATGAATCGGATACTATTAAGATAGTCACTTAGTTTAGCTTTAGTATACCATTTTGTATAATGTGCAGTTTAATTTAAAATCTTCCCAGTATTCATCATTTTTAAACATCTTTGTGCTCCAGTGTCAGATGTGTCAAGAATTCTTTTACACTTCTACAGGGTTAATATACAGTATTAGCAGGCTATCACTAGTTTTGTCACTTAGTTCAGTTAGCTACACATCAGTTACACATAGCAGTTACTGGGTGTCAGATGTAGTTACAGATGGAATAAAAACCAGTTTGTGTGGTGCATTTAGTGATGTGTGAATCTTTCACTTCGTAAACACTTGGGTTATAATTAGGCAAAGTCTGAACCTGTGAGGAGTTGGTGTCACAATTTCTTTGAAGTGGAAAAAGGTTTTTGGAGTCCTTCTTAAATATAAAATACATCAATTCATATTGTAATAAAATAGTCTGAGAAGGCAAAATATGAGAAAGAAATCAGTCTTTGGCTGAACAACTCATGCTTACAAGTACAGCTCATGTTTTGTTCAGGCCATAAGCTGTGATGAGTAGAAACAAACAAGACGTTGCATCATTTTAAAGAGTTGCAAGCCCTGTAGGTAAAGGATGTCGTTAATAATGTACATGATGTCACTATTAATAGACACGTGTCTGTAAGTAGAAGTCTATGCTTATGTTTAATAGATGTTTGTCATGATGTTACAGGTCCAGGCTGGGTTTAGATAAAGAGCAAGGAATGATTCATCTGGAGATCAGTGTCTCTGATGGACGTGAGTAATAATATATATTATTACATATCACAAGTTAAGTCACATCTTTCTACTGTGTTTGTATTGCTTATTGAAATGAGACATAATGTCTCCTGTTAGTCACAATGTTTGCTGACATTTGTTTGTAATTCCTAAATCTCAATTTCAAAAAACCAGTAGAGAGATTACATCTTTCTTTTTTTTGCTGTCTGTTCTAAAACTGCCTTCCTCCTCTGAACTGGCTGTGCGGGGACTCTTCATGCAATTGAGCTAATTCATTTTTCAAAGGCCAGGCTATGACTTGGCTATTTTCTTGGCCACAGCACAGAGATGGGGGGCACTTCCATAAGGCCTCGTGTGTTAATGCCCTGTCCCTGGGGAGATCGCCTCATTTGGCTGATGCTAACACACTGGGGCAGCTCTCTCTACTTTATCTATTAGTAAGAATAAGAAGTATAAAATTTTGCCTCAGTGGCTCGCGTAATACCATCAGCATAAGCAGCTAAACCTTGATTGTGGTCCACAGAAGGTTGTTTGTTTTCCTCTTTGTCATATTTTTAGCTCTGATTTCTTGCTTACCCGCAGGGTCACAGTACATAACTTGTAAACTTCAGAACTGCTCTGACGGAAACAAGGGCAAGCCTTTCCCTGGATTTATCATCCCTAATTCCCTGGTGGTTCAGGATGAATACGTTTTCATCCAGGTGGGTTTTTATCGCAAGGTCTGGCTTCATTAAAAGACAATTAAAAGCTGTAAAACCACTGCATTCAATCGCATCTTAATGTACAGTCATGTTTTTCATTAACCAAAGGGGGCCATTATCCTGGGAAAGGATGGCATGTAACTGAAATCACAGTGTTGTGTATTATACTGAGAGAGCTGCACTCTGTCATAATGCACAACAACCTAATTACCACAAACCCAGAGTTTTGATGGCGGTTTAAACTGTGTGAGACATGCCGCTAGCAATCGGTGTACACAGCTAAGCTTATGAATATTCACCTGAAATGTGATGAACTGTAAATTGCACTATATTGCTTTTCTAGGTGCCAATAGGTGGCCAGTCTGTCCATTATGTGTCCTATAAAAGAAATGCTTTCTACCCGATGAAGCTTCCTAAGTACACTCTGCCAAAGGTAAGGCTGCTGGACGGGCTGCAGTGTTGGGTGAGTTGAGCACATGCAGAGCAACAAGCAGCAGAACAAGTGCAGCGGCTGTGAAACCCTCTATTTATTCCTTCAGGCTATTCTGTGGTGCCATGATGACTTACTGTGGGTTGATTTTTCAAATGATTTTAAGTAGATTTGTTCTCAGTTAGTCATAATGTTTGCTGACAAATCCATTAAATTGTTTTTCCCACATTATTATCCTTCTGAAAATTGATTCTGTTATGCATAATTATATCTTTAGATCTTATGTTTATTTAAGACCCATGCCTAGTTTTTAATCAGTTGCCCTCCCGTCTGTATCCACAGATATTTACTTAAAAAGTGAATCTGGAGTTGCACAGTCAGTGTTCCCCAGAACTCCAAAGGAACTTTTTGAAGTCGAAAGCCCCATTTGCATTATCACAAAACTGTGTTCTGCACTAATTTCCATTTACCAAAGGCACAGCAGGGTGTCTTAGTGGTTTGAGAGACTGTGTCATAACAACAGGAGAGATTTAGTGCCCACAGTGTTGTTTCGATCAATCTCTCCATCCATCCATCCAACCATGTATACTGTCAGAATTTCCTTGAAGGACACACATCCCTTATATCTCGCCTCACTCTGGGAAAGGGATTCAGTAAAAATTAAATGGAGCCTGTCCTCATTTTTAGTGCATGGCGTGAAGCGCCTGAGGTCTGATCGCTGCTGATCCTGACTGAATGATGTCAAGAAGTGACGAATCGCTAGCTTGCTGCTCAAGCTCTGTGGCGACTATTGTGCACACTGCTATGCAGATCCACCATTCTTTTGCTGAGGGAACTCCTTTGAATCAATTCTTAAAACCTTGTTGGCTGGTAAGTTGCCTAATCCACACACAGACGTCTACTCATGAATTTTTTATCTTTAGGACTTGCAGATAATCAGCACAGACGATAACCAGGTGGTTGCAGCAATTCAGGACTGGCACCAGAATGACTCCTACAACCTGTACATGTCTGAGTCCAGAGGACTGCTGTTCACCCTGATGCTGGAGAATGTTGTGAGCAGTGGAGGACCTGAGGGCAACATCATGATAGACCTGTATGAGGTAAGCAGTGACACTGCTGTCGGGGTGCTGCTGTCATCTGTTCGCATGTCTTCAGGTTATTCCAGGTCGGGCTCGACCAACTCATCTCACTGACCTGGTTTTGTGACTGCTGCAGTTTATGGGACAATGTGTCATGTTCAAGTAACTAATTTATGCAATAAATTAGTGCAATTATACATCCATGCACAATTATTGTCTGTTATGTAAAATGATACTGTGGTGGTGCAATTCTACACTCATGCCTACATATTCTGTCTGCTGCCCAAATTTGGAGTAGCTTCAATTTATTTTACATTTAATTAGTGCTGAAATGAGAGAGTAAATTAGTAGTTAATCAATTGACTGAAAATCAATTTTGCAGCTATTTGAATAATTTAGTAAACATTGAAATAATTTATCTGGCAAAAATGCAAAACATTTGCTGGTCCCTGCTCCTCAAATGTGAGTATTTGCTGTTGAATCATTACAAACTGATCATCTTAGTGTCTAACCTGAAGCTATTTACTATTGGTTAGACAAAAGGAGACATTTGAAGAGGTGACTTAAGATGTAATAGATATTTTTCACTATTTTACGACCTTGTTTGTACTAAATGATCAATCAGTGTTCAGAGTGGCTTGAGCCTATCCCATCATGCACTGGTCATGGACAGACTGCTAATCTGGGAGTCTTCAGTTTGTCTTTTCACTATGAGAGAGAGAGAGCTAACTGAAGGTAACATGGGGAGATCATGCAAAAACAAAGGCCCCATTCACTGTGTGTGAGCATCATATAAATTTAAATTCCTGCTTTTAGAGCTTTCTTGGACGGTAAAACAGACTCTGGCTCTGGCAAGTAAAGTACCAACAGACAGCCTAAAACTTTCCTTAGAGCTATTCTTGATTTTTCTACTGTGTTTTCCTTAAATGTACCATTTGTGCTCAGAGGTCATGGATGCCCTCACCATAATGGAACAGATGTTGGTACACTGCATTTTATTCTGCAGTATCTGAGAGTGCCTCACAAGTTTAGTAAACTCCGGTGTCACTTACAGCCCATAGTCACAATGCAGGCGAAATAGCAGCTTTAACTTGTGCCCTGAACACATTATATCTGTGTTGACAGATGTACTATGAGGTTGCAGTCACTGCCCATGTATGCATCACTCTAGATTATCCTCATCTTGCAGCCAGCAGTAAAAGCCTCACACTGTTATACACCTAAAATAGCCATCAGCGGTGGTTACTCTCACTGCTCACTGACCTCCACACACATCGTACGCCCAGATCTATTTAGCTGCGATGACTGACTAGTAGAAGATATGAAATGGTCATTCTTCCTTTGACAAAGATTTGCTCTCTCCAAATGGAAGAGAAATGGGAGCTCGAGTGATTGCCGCATGTGAGAGTCTCCATCTCTGTGCACATAAATACAAAGAAGAAGAAATATCTCAGGGCTGCGCCATATGTTGTTTTGATTCTGCAGAGTCCTACAGATGGTCCAAAATAGTGCTCCCTGTCAGAAAAACTATCACTTTCAGACTTCTCTTCGTCTCCGAACTAGGCCTTCAGCTTTACTTAAGTTTGAATAATTTACGGCTACTTTTTTTTTTCCCCCCTCTGTTCTTTGGTTATTTTTCCTCCTACCGCTCTCCGTCTCTCATGTTTGCAGGTTGCAGGGATTAAAGGGGTGTTCCTGTCAAATAAAGTTGTTGAGAACCAAGTGAAAACTTATATCACATACAACAAGGGGAGAGACTGGCATCTTCTTCAGGCTCCAACAACCGATCTCCAGGGAAACAAGGTCTATTGTGAACAAGTAAGTGGGCCACTGACAAGAGATGGATCTTATTATTTGGATTTCCATTATCTGCTCAAATAATACTCCACTGACTCACACCATGCCATGGTCACAGACTGTAAATGAATCTTTATCAAATCAAGACAGCTCGCAATATGTCAGTAACTGAAGAAACCTTTTAAATAATGTAATATACCTCGACTGTGCAAAATTTATGTCACAATTTTGTTCATTTTGGTAAAACCCACCCATCTATATCAAACTAATACTTTGGTTATCTCAACATAACTCCCCTTAATGAATGATTAATACAGAAATATGAATGTATTAAATTTATATTGATATATTACTTGTATCATTAGCAGTAGTAGTAGTGGTTTTATCATAATACATTATGTTATGCAAAATTGTACAATATATTGTATAATAACTACTGGGATGATTCATTGCTTTGATTGATGATTTAATAAATTAGTTAGGAAAGACCATTATGTTACCATTCATTATTTCAAGACTGATAATCTGTTCAGTTAAAATTGTTTTTGCATCTGTTTTTTTGATTCATTTTAAAGGAAAGGTTTTGCACTTGGCAGCAAGTAAAGCTTTAAATGATCTCATAGTCACAAGAGGAGATATTACTGAAAGACGTGGTGCAGAAAGTAGAAAAAAAATAATGATAATAAAGCAAAATAGATTGAAGGAAAAACTGGTAGACCTAGTCTGGGAAAACAAAGAAAATAAATGGAAAACAATCGTATTCACAGGAGATTCTGAAATGAAAGAGTCTCAAAAAGGTCTCACAAACAGATCCCATCTCCCAAACTGCCCCTCAATCTGCTCTGCATAAACTCATAAGATGCTGTTTCCACCATTGCATCTACCCAGGTCATTTTAGATTGGAACCTTTTAGCTATTTTTGACTGACTTAAATGATTCTGGGAGCTGTAACAATACCAAACATAATAAGAGAAAACACACATTTTGATATGTTTGGTATTTGAGTCAGTGTGAATCAGGAGTCAATGACACTTCCATATAGAAGCATAAATCACCAGTTCATCGGTTTCATTCTATGGAGACTTTATGGTGTATGAAAATATCTATGTAACAGTTTTTTTTTTTACCACAAATGTTCAGCCATTTTCCATTTTTCAGATTCCTGTTACAGATCTCACCACCAGTTTCACATTTCCTTTAAGGTTTTTAATTAAGTTAATTTCCATTTTAATAACCCTTCAGCAGACCCTTATGTCATACAAGATAATCTTACAGGTTCACAATTAATTCAGGGCAGTTTCTATGATGGCTTCTTTTTTTTTTTTTTTGTATGTGTATCATTTTCACATTCTGACTGCAGCAAACTAATCTCCTTTGCGTTCCTCAGCCGTTCTGTTCGTTACATCTGCACCTTCATGTGTCGGAGAATCCTTACACCTCGGGAAACATTGTCAGCAAAGACTCAGCTCCAGGAATTATAATAGCATCGGGTGAGGACATTGTTTGATTTGCACATCCATGCTGTTGTTTGCTCCCAGCCTTAATGCTGCTCCTTGATCATATCCCTCAGTTCTCCCAGTCAGATCTGTGCCTCAGTTCTGTTCCCAGCACCGTCTTTCTCAGCTGGCAACAGTTTACAGAATGAAACGAAACCCATCTTTTCCTGCGCATCTGTTCCATGTTCATTGGAAAGAGTTTGTACCGGCATGAACAAAGAATGTGGAAAAAAAAAACAACCATACTGATTTGCCTGTGTTTAAGTGACTTCTTGAAATAACGATAATTAAAAATACTGCTTTTCTACCTTTTGTATTCAGGTGTGGTTGGACCTGAGCTGACCAGTACTAATGTCAGTATTTTCATCACATCTGATGCTGGAAATACCTGGAGAGAGGTGCAGTACAACAACAGATTTTTTTGCAAATTTTTTGATGCTGGTACCTGCACAATACACCCCGTTTATGCATTAATACTTTTTGAATAGATTAATTTGCAGAGCATGATCACCTTTTCAGGAAAAAAAAACTTTTTTGTCCATTCAACAAAATAGAGAGAACTTCTTCTAAGCTTCTGTGCCAAATGCCGTCCTTCGTTTTAACTTTCTCACAATATAATGCAGAGCAAAATGAAAGAATATGTCTGCAGTCAGACATTATCTGAATAAAGAATAGGAGAACAAAACAAGGAATCTGACTGAGCATTTAATGCCAGCTTTCAGTTCATGGTGCTGCAGTCGCAGTTACAAAGAAATAAAGAATTGAGGTTTGACACCCAGCCTTGTGCGAGACATGTGGATCTCTGATCTGTTAAACAAATAAATCAAAAGGAGCATGCAGATTTTTGCCGTCGGCTTAACGCTCCAAAATTCAACAAAGAGAGCAATACTTGCTTGACGCTTTTGTTTATTCACACAACTGAGACTCTTGTGCAAAGAACAGCTGTGGTTTCAACTTTAATGTGGAGGTGTAAGTAGGCATGTGCCATGAGTTGCATGCTTTGTGTCGATTTTTCTCTGGTGAGATAAAGTGAAGCTGGTCTGTCTTGTCTGCAGGTTTTTCAGGAGGAGTACAGTGTGTTTTTCCTGAATCAAGGAGGATCTCTTGTGGCCATCCGACACACACCTCTGCCAATTAGACATATTTGGTAAGGCTCTCCAAGGATGTGCTGCATCTTTTTAAAGACTATACTCAATCTTTAAAACAAGAAGTAAGACTGCTTTCCTGCTGAGGCTTTTCATACTGAATTCAACTCTATTTGTGGCTAGTCTGTCTGTGATCCAACCATTGTTCTGTCCCTCAGGCTGAGTTTTGATGAGGGCAGAAACTGGGACAAATATAGCTTCACCTCCTCTCCGCTCTATGTTGATGGGGTGCTGGGGGAGCCTGGAGAGGACACCCTCATCATGACGTAAGATATGTAGGAACCATTAAGAACTGATGTGTTTCTAGTTTGTTAATTACTGCACTTGTTAATTATATATTGCCCCGATGAAGACTTAGAAGTGTACATGAATATGCTTGCATTTATTTAATGTGGTTGGGTTTGAAAGGGTTTTACAAGCCCAAGATGTAGGGGAGTTCCTCAACCCACAGAGGAACATGGAATAAAATCAATGCATCAAAATCACCCAAAATTAAGTTACAATTACAAGATACAACACGTAACATGTTTTATTTCTTGAATCTGCCCTATGTACCAAATGTTTTTGACCTTTGTTTGTGCAGAATATTTGGTCATTTCAGTCATCGATCCGAGTGGCAACTTGTCAAAATTGACTTCCGGTCCATTTTCCAACAATGGTGCACATCTGAAGATTATCTGACATGGCAGTTACACAGTGAGGTAAGAGGATCTTGCTGCTACTTGAATTCTGATAAGATGAACCTTAAGTCATTGATTAAACTCGAGTGAATCTTTTTGATTCAGTCACACAATAAAGATAGTAGAAAGACAAAAGAAGGGGGAAAAAGACCCTCTGAAATGTTTTTAATGCATTATTCATCACAGGGGGAAGTGTGCATCATGGGAATGAAGAGAATCTTCCAAAAACTGAAAGCAAACGTTCGATGTGTCAAGGCCAGAGATCAGTATATTTCCCAGATGTCAGACTCTTGCCCATGCACAGAGGCAGATTTTGAGTGGTGAGTTCCCTGCTCTGCAGCTACTCTTTTCACTTCATTAAATCCAATGAATGCACAACACTTTATCAATCTCCAGAGGCAGAGTCTGTGAAGCAAACCTAAGGCACAACAAGAGGAGAGTTTGAAGACTTATCTTATAATTCACTACTTGTTATTCTTATTTCTGTTGTATTTTTATCACTACAATTTACAAAAGACGCTGTCAGTGGTTTGAACTCTCGGGTATGAATAATTTCTTACTAATATAATATCTGATCTCAGTATATACATATGTATCTACCACAATATAGCTTACATGTGCAAAAATACATATAAATAAGCAAACCGCTGTTTAGAGCAATGAACTGTGGTCACACATTACATTACACCAGACTCTTAAAATTCATTAAAAAAAACTTTGAATAATAATTTTGTTTATTTTTAACTACAGTTTGCTGGGAAAACAAATATTTTGGACAATAGAATTTGATAGAACAGTAAGACTGTATGATCATATAAACACTATTTAAAGATGACCAATAATATTGAATAATTGCTCAGCAGTCAAATTCAAATTCGGATGTGGTTTTTTGGCATGACAGTTCAGAAACCTATATTGCCCAAGCAGAACAGAAAATGACTAACACAGATAGATGATTAGCAATAAATACACAATACTAAGCAAATATCCGCATCATATCAAATACAATACAATAAAAAGCAATAACAATCACATTCAATTCAGCTCATGACCATAACATGACTGAAACATTCACTACAGAGTCTGTTTCTCTTCACAACAGTCAACGTACTTTGCAGCTAATCCTGCACGCAGACTTTTCTCCCCAAATAGACAGGCCAGTTTCTGAGGATCAGGGACATGGATAGACTCAGGATATATTGATGTATTGTTTCTTTTCTGCAAACAAAACCTCTCTAACATCCTTATACTTCTAATGGTATAGTAGGAAGTGAGATTCTGTCACAATCTATTTTTTATGACAAAGTGAACGCAGCCTGGCCTCCCTGGGAAGCCCGTTCTGCCTGTAACGGTCCAATATTTGATTTAATTTTCTTTTTGTTTTGAGATGATATGGTTTGGCCAGATTGTTTGGTATCTGTCCTGAAGCTCTCGTGTGTGTGTGTGTGTGTGTGTGTGTGTGTGGGTGTGTGTGTGTGTGTGTGTGTGTGTGGGTGTGTGTGTGTGTGTGTGTGTGTGTGGGTGTGTGTGTGTGTGTGTGTGTGTGTGGGTGTGTGTGTGTGTGTGTGTGTGTGTGGGTGTGTGTGTGTGTGTGTGTGTGTGTGGGTGTGTGTGTGTGTGTGTGTGTGTGTGTGTATAGGCAGCACTTCAGGACCAGTCACAGTCAAATATGTGATAGGGGTACACTGCTGTATCTTTCTTCTTATATCAAGTGGACGGGAATAGATCTGGATAATGAAGAACACTAATGGTTCACCCTAAACTCTATTATAAGCTTCTTCTTGATGTCTCACAAGTATCGCTTCAAGTCAGAACTTTTTGTTCAACACTTCACTCTGTCTCATACTTTCTTTTATCTTTCTGTTCCAGCCCTAATTGATCAGCACTGACTAGTATATTACAAGCTTAACACCACTTTATTACTAAAAGACTCATTAAACTTTGCAACTCTGGCTCCTGAGACTGTTTCCCTGATCATGATGAAAGAAATGTGACAGAGCCCTCTGACTTTGCCACGGTATAATTATAGTTTGTGTAAACATGAACAATGCTTTTTTCTTGCTTCAGAAGTTTGATACAAAAAACATCAAATCACAAATACTCCGGGCTGCTGTGAATGTTTTTCTCTCACCCACACCTCTGTTCACAGTAGACATACACTTATTGTCTATGATTCTGTTTAAGCTCAGAGATTATATTTGATATTTTAAATAAATGATAACTAATCTTGATAACACTTTAGTGTATCATTTTTTTTTTTGTACTTCTTATTCCAACTGAAACAGTGACTACGGGTTTGAGAGGCAGATTGATGGGAGCTGCACTCCGGCTTTCTGGTTCGTTCCTTCAGCAGCGTCTAGAGACTGCATCACGGGGGACAGCTTCCTCAACACCACAGGGTACGCCTGATTCGCTTGTACCGACACGAGCAAAGGCAGTAGTGGAGGCGCAAATGCCCTTGATTACATCGAAGCTCTACTCCCCTTGAAAACCTGCTATTCTGTGTGAAAATGGTTGTTTGCAACACATGAATGGCTGATAAACTTGAAAACAATTGAATATTGACAGACATTCATGCATATTTTTTTCCTGTGTGTGTATCTATTCAATTATTTATACAGCGCCAAATCACAACAAGGGTTTTCTCAAGACACTTTATTGTATATATGTATATATATGTATTGTGTATATATGATAGGATGCTTGTTTATTTACTCGTGCCGTGTTCCTGAATCCAGATATCGCAAGGCTTTGTCTAACAACTGCACCGAAGGAACTCTGCTGAAATACAGCCCCAGGCGACAGAAGTGTCCCAGTCAGGTCCCCAGGGGCCTCCAGCTCTTCACCAGCGAGGGAACCCTGGTAGCGACGCTGGGGAGGAATGTCACCTTCTTGGTCTTTCTGGAAGAGGTGCTGACTTCACTTAAACAAAGCAACAACAGTGTGTGCAACAGGGAACAGGCTGCATGGTTTTTCTTTTGTGTCTGTTATCTGTATCTGTAGGCTGAAGTGCCAGCATGTCAAATAAATATGCAGTGACATGATTTACCACTTGACCTTGTTCTTGAAGATATTATAGAAAATGCACAGTGTTATGTGTCAGTGAGGCCACTGACAAACAACTGAGGCTGCAGTGTTGAGTGACAGTATTTTGTTTTCTTTTTGAAGGGTCTTGGCTCCACAACGAGTATAACAGTGGACTTCGGCGACGGGACCGCAATATCATATGTTAACATAAGCTCCATCGATGACGGGGTCAAGCATATCTACAGTAAAGTTGGCATCTACCAAGTTTCTGCAACAGCAAGCAACACTCTTGGCTTTGACAGGGTGATACTGTACCTTCACATCTCCTGTGAGTCAAAAACAGTCATTTCGTTGCTGTCAAAACATAAAAAGTTGTGCGATCAAAGATTTTTTTTTTGTTGTAAATACAAAGATGAGCCTTTTTCCCCTCCAAAATGTATTTAAATTTTTACATATTTATGTTTATATAAGTTATTGTCAACATTATTTTAACCCCAAGTGTGAATTTACTATAAAAGGGTTGCTCATCACCTGCATATGTGGTGATTAACTGGTGTGATAGATAGATAGATAGATAGATAGATAGATAGATAGATAGATAGATAGATAGATAGATAGAAAACGAGCTCTGCTGTCTCTGCAGTGTGTCGTGCAGGGGATGGGATGGATTGTCCATGATGGAGAGCAGTTTGTTCAGTGACCTCTTGCTCCTCACTGGCTCAGCTCTGACCAATAATGGTCTCAGCCTAGCGAATGAGTTAATTGCTCCTGCTGGCTTTTCTAGCACAGATGCTGCTCGCCCAGCAGACCACAGCACAGTAGATGTCACTCATTACCACAGACTGATAGACAATCTCCAGCATCTTGCTGCATACATTGAAAGACATGAGCTTCCTCAGAAAGAAGAGGACGAGCGGACTCGTCAGTGTTGCTCCTCCTTTATCACAGATAATCATGGACTGTGAGATCCAACGGCCTTAATAGTTCAAAATACTTCAACTTGTCGGCCTTTAGAAATATAAATAATAATACGAAAAACCTGGGCAAATGCACTCATGACTCCTCATTAACTTCAAATTGGCTCATTAAAGAGAGGCTCGGAAAACTCCGTCCAAAGTTTTGAGTGTCACTCACCCTGTGTAGGCATAAAAGACACCCGTTAGTTGTTTCCTCGTTGACAGAGAAGAACAGGAGTCAGCTTAAATTCAGCTCATTATAATGGATTCCCATGGTGACATTTTAATGGCAGCAAAAAGCATCAAACTGTCCTCATACACTTGTCAAGCAACAACTTCTTCAGGGTCTGTCCATATGCTCACTGTGTCCCAGACACTGTTGTGCCAAAACATGGCTAAATACATGGCCACTGTTGGAAGTTGGAGCATCATGGAAGCAGATTATTTATATTTGTAGAAATATACATTTAACATATTTTAGCAGGTGTGAAGGTGTGAATTTTTGTGTTTTCTCTCTAAAGGTCAACTTGAACAGGTCCAGCTCTCGGCTCCTTCAGTGGTCGTCAAGAACAAAGCAGTAAATCTCACCACAGTGTTACAGCCCAGCAACGTGGGGACAGTCATCTATTACTGGTGGTTTGATAACAAAACAGAGGTAAGCCTTAATTTCGCATTCACTACCACGCTACCACGCTACCACGCAATGACAGATTCACAAGTCACAGTACATCTCTCTGTCTTTGTCTTTGCCTTCAGCCTATTGTCACCCTGGAAGGAGCGATGTCCTTCACTTTCTCCAAGGAGGGAAGCCACAGTGTCACTGTTCAGGCTTCAGTTGGCAACACTGTCCATCAGGACCAAATGACTGTGGCAGTTTATGGTGAACCATATATTCTCATTTTATTTTACTCATTGCACTTAAACAGCCTCTTACAGCAATACAGGGAAAACTGTGGAGTCAGAGCTTTTTGACTGAAACAAAAACTGGATGACAGGACCACTCACTTGGTTTTTCCAGGACAGGATGTGATAACAGGTGGTTATATATGTGGGTGAGACAGTAACCCCAGTTTCCACTCAAGGACCGAACTCCAATTGCCTATGAAGGCCGTGAGATGTGGCTGAGAGCTCGAGTGAGTGGACCATGTAATAAGAATTGGTTAAGAATTAACCTTTTAGCTCGACTTTGAAGCCTTTTTTTCCCCAAAAGATTTTCTTTTCATTTGTCCATGTTTTGACGAGAACTTGTAAAGTCACAGACAACTAATAACTGAACTTCTACATTTATGCATTAAACTATCTTTCCTGAATGTATGTAAACATTTTCTCTCTTTCTTTTTAATTGTTAAAATGATTTTCCTCTCACAATTAAGGTACAGAATTGACTCTGTCCAGGCGACCACCACAACAAAAACTTAGGGGCGTTATTTGAAAACTGAAGTGGATTTTTGTGAAGAGGGATCCCACATAATGGGGAAGTACATTAACAAAATTTAATTTCTGACCATTTCAGATTATTTCCGGTCACATGTTTTGGCCTTTTCTTCTAATTTGGACGAGATGAACCCTGGGGTGTCTGAGTGGAGAGAGGACATCTGCAGAGTGGTGAAGAGCTCCATGGTTCAGGTCAGTTTTTCAGCTGCTTACTCCAGTAGACCTCATTCTGACTCTGGCAATTAGCAGCTTTGCACCAGCCACTAATATTTCCATTCTCAGTTATGCTGCATTTGTAATGTATGCATGTGGTTTTGTGTCAAGCGTTGCACTCCACCGCTTGATAAATGGTCTGGTAGTGTCTGTCACCTCGCTTGCTGTGCAATTAGCTGTTCACCTCTACACGCCTCCATACAGATATGATAAACTAAAGGAAAAACCTGAATAAATGAATGCAGTCATAACAAATACACATGCCTCCATACAGTTAACAAGGCCTCACTGAGTGGTTTAATGAGAATTAAAATTAGTGATGTGAAGTTATAGAGGAGCTTGAGGAGTCAGTAACATCTCAATTCAGGGGCCGCATCCTTGGGAGGACGACGTCCAACGAATGCGTGGCCTTCGTTGCCGTCGTAGACCGTGAAGGCCAAACCAAAATGAGACGGCCTGGCCTACGGAGGATTTCTGCTTTGCATTATCAGCTGCGCTCGCCCTTTCCATTGCGTCACAAAGCGCCACTTCCATGTAACTTTTTTTTTTAACAAAAACTTGAGGTTTTAAGGCCCTCGGTTTTATAACAGTTGTTAGCTGTTCAACCGAGCTGAAACCCAATTCTTAAATTTAAAAGTGTAATCCCCAGGCTCTCTGTTGGCATTGTTTGCTGCTATATTATGTTCATTACCGGAATGCAATCAATCTTGGGATAGCTTCTGGCCCCAAGGATCCACCTGTTGGAGCCTTTGTTACACAGGAAAAGTCGGGGACATTTAAAGGAGCCTTCCAAATGAAACAGCCTAGTCGTGCTGCTGTGACGCAGTTTGTCTTCAAATGCAGCCTCCGAAGGATGCGGCCTCTGAAAAGTTGTATTTCTACCTGTCCCAAGTTAAAACACTTTCACTTTCAACGAGGCTTCATCAGCCCATCACTAATGGCCTTCACAGTCTCCAGATCAAAATCCAATTGAACAACTATGGGGGATCTTGGAATAACACGTTAGACAGCGCTCTCCACCGCCATCATCAAAACAAAAAATTAGCGAATCTCTTTTGGTCAAATGAGGTTCATCCCTCCGGTAGAATTCAGAGACTTGGAGAATCTATGACAAAGAATCAATGAAGCTGTTTTGGTCAAACTGGAACAACAACTTACAAAGACACTTGATGTTGGTTTTTCCATTAATTTGTCAGCCCTCTGTAGCACATCACCTCAAATCATTACTACCAGTACAAGCTTTCAACCGAACTTGTCAAAACACTAAAGGGCAATAAAAGCTCTGCCATGACAGTTGCCATTTGCTCTTTAGAGAGATGAATGCAATTGCCTTGAGAGAACACCAAAACCTCAAGTAAAGTGAGCCTAACTGTGGTTAAGTGCGCCTGGTTTTCCATCTCAGACACTGCGGGGATGTCAAAAAAGCAGCAGGTTATGTAAAAGACCTGGATACTGAGCTCTATATATATCCTACAGTAGCCCTCAGTATGAAACATTCACTTTGACCTTCTGTCTTGTCAGATATTACCATGGTTTACACCAGGAAACTGACAGCAGACCTCTGGTTACGGCATAAATGCACTAAAAGCCCTGGCCTTTACCAAAGACTGTCAAATTGCACTTGCATGTTTTAGTTGATCCACGCATTATATCTTGACAGTGACTTGTACTTAGGCAAATGATATATGAAGCAGAAAGCCAACAGTATTTACTCATTAATACGGGCAACCCCTAAGAATCGTATTTCAGGGCCAAAGCGTAGAATCTCACCACACAGTGTCAGTGTCAGTTAAAAACCTGTTTTTAATGAGGTTTTGTTGTTACTATTAAAGGTCACAGGAATCAGTGAGGATCAGCTCCTGGTCACCGTGCTACCGGGCTTACCAACCACGGCCGAGGTTTTCATTGTGCCTGAGAAGAGGTCAAGAGATGGAGCCACGGATGAAAAGTGGGCCCACCTGGATCAGGTACTCTCTCTTCAAATCATTTCAGCGGCCCTGGCAGATGCTCACTACAATGTGGTTTTCTGCGATAATTAAAACCACACACACACAAGCGAGCTGAGGAAGTCAAAGAGACTGTCTCCAGAGAGAATGTCCCTGGAGAACATGCTCTTTACTTTTGAGTTTCAAAACAGTACAACACTATTAAGCTCTATTGTTTTATTAAAAAGGGAACATATTTTATGATGTTCGGTCATTTCTCTCACCACAAGATGTAACCTTGTCAATGAGTGGATTGACGGGAACAACACAATACTTTTAAAATGCAGTTCTTCAATGACATACGTATGTAAGAAGTTACATATAATAGGCACATATAGACCCATGTAGTATATCAGTATATTTTCCATTATTTCACATATTATTCATATTGTCAAGATAAAGGTCAGTTACTCCCAACAGTTTATTTCACTGACAGTTGCATCCTTTGTTGGGAGGTTTTGGCTGCAGCCATTTCCATGACAGCTTTCTTGCTAGCCCTAAAAGATAATTCATCCTGTGAGTTTATCCGGGAGTTGCCATCTGGCTTTCCCATATATTTCTGCAATCATGCTCCAGTATCTCTTATATCTTATTTCCGATTGACAAGGGCAGTTGAATAGTTTTTGAGTCAGTTTTGTGTTCAATTGTAATCCTGATATTAGATATTTGTTGTCTTTAATCTTTCGTATGTGCTTGACTGAATATGCCAAACTAGGTCCTCTATCCTCGGCTTGTTTAGTTTCTTTACTAAAGTCGTCCCTGGCCTGGAGATACTTTTTTTTTCAAGGTTTCACATATTCGAGAGGCGTTTCAAAGAAAAGTTTACATCTTAACTGCCCTTCCTCTTTGTTTGTGCACAGTACTGACAAAGTGTGTGCACACTGTAATTAAAAAAGTGAACAGGTACTCGGACTTGCGCAGATGCCTCCTCTCTTATCTCTGACTACCTGGAAAGTTGGATATCACAGTTTTTTTTTTGCTTGTTTTTTTTTTTTTTATTTCCCCTTTATGACTCTGTTGCCTGGCCCATTTTCTTTCCCTTGTGAGATTCAAAATCTTTTATACAAGAGGCTGAATATCAAACCTAATTTGCATCCTCACTGATTACTTTCCAGTTCTTTTATGAAATGTTTTGCATTTCACATACATTTGAATCCTTTTTCCTCCCCTTCCAGGCAGCTACTGGTTTCCATTCATTTCAGTCCGGTATGAAAATCAACTTGTAGCGTCTTAAAGCTTGTTTGGGTGAGGCAATACATCACAATGAGCATCATGTCCACATTTATATTTGTCAAAGTTACATTATCGTCGCGGTGTAACACAGTTTTAAGTGCGGCTTGATTTGGAAACTCTGCACTCCATCGCCACACAGCAATAAGGTTAACTTTGACAAAAATAAATGCAGACATAATGCCCACTGTGATGGATTATCAAAGTCAGCCAAGTTTAAAGTCTCTGCAAAAGTATTTTCATAGCACAGCGAAATGAATAGACACCACTGGCTGCATGGTAGGTAGGGAAAACGCTATGTTATTTCTCGGAAAAGGTCAGCAGTAATGAAGACTCTACGTTGTTGTAGTAATTGGGGTAAAAGATGCAAAAACTCTGGTGCAGTCCATTAAGTGAAGATACAGAGAACAAGAGGAATATGTTATAGCTCGACTGTTATTATCATGCAGGCATATAGGATCTTATCTCCTATAGCTCCATAAGACTTCCCTTTCAATTAGTTTCTAGAGTAAACCCCTTCCATTACCCGTGGAGTCGTTCAATCAAAGAACTGCTCCTCAATTCTACCATATTCATGATTTTCTTATGGTTTAATCATGCAGTTGTTAATTCAGGATTGTTTTTGTTTGCCAACAAACAAAAAAAACATGTTTTCCCCCCTGATTGCACTCTTTGTTTCAGAGAAGCTCCACCGTTCAGAAATTAGATTTTGTGTCTTTATTGCCTACATGCTAAATGATTTAATGTTCCCTCACTTTGTATTTCCCTCTTAGAGAGTGATGCATAAAGTCAACACTAGAGGGCAATGTCTGCCCATGTAAAAGCACAGAAACAGCATCCGTCAGAGGCCTGGAGTAATACCCACAGAGCATCTCAGTACATGGCGCCACCGTTTAGAAGTTTAGACACTTGGATAAACCTTTAGATAATAATAATAATAAAACCGTAATAATTTCAACCCCTCATGCATCATAGTTGTTATTATTTACTTATAGTAAAATAAGATTCCTGGATCTTCAAAACTGATTTCATATGTTATAGAAAGCTGTTCGCTATATAAACAAAACAATTAAACGGAGCTGATAAGCACTGCTTAGATATGCTCATTTATTCATCATAACGGATACAGCCTCAGTGTATCACAAGAAAACATAATTTTGCTGGCTCACAGTCAGTCTTGAACTAAGTTAATAGGTATTTAATTACATTGATGCATCATATAATTGGCACCATCGAGAAAGGAGACAAACTGGGGCAGGCGGCCTGGATTGGGAATTAAAGAGATGTATTTATCTAAAGCCTGTCTGATTACCTGGCAGAACCTCACAGACAATGGGGTAATAAATCTTCAGTTCACTGTTCTCATCTCCAGTGAATGACTTGCAATGTGGATGCACTAAATGAGTGTGTGCCCACACATACACACGTGCATGTGGTGAGTGTATGCGTGGAGCGGCTTATTAAAATGTGTAATAGATTTACTGACCCTGATATGCCACTAGAACAAAAAGTAATTATTCATACTGTGTAGAGCAGTCTAATTTTAACCAGTGGAAAGATTTTAGAAAGAGCGAGATGGAATTAGTGAGGCATGGCTAAGGACTCAAATGGGCTCCAGGAAGGCATTTTGGTCTCTTGTTAAATGACTGCTTCATCTAGGTGTGAAAAGCAGAAGAACTTGAGGCACTTCAGGGGGAAAATTTAAAACGGCAATTTTACGATAATAGGACATCCTTTGATTTTCAATAGCTTTGCCTCACTGAACTTTTACATTGGTTAATCATGTTGTTTTGGAAATAGGTGTACTAAAAAAAGTCCCCCATGTGACAGAAATAGCAAAAGATCATTTTTTTTCTCAAATGTCACTGCCACACTATAGGCAGACTGCCCTTTTACCTGATAGGGTTTCCATCGCTTATAAAAGGCTGCTTGGTTTCGCCGCAGCAGGTTTGGTTTTCCGCGTGTCAGATCAACATTTGCTCCTCTTTAGAAGGAAGCAAAAATTCTGATTCATAATTCAGGGCTGTTGGATGAAATGACTGCAGCTGAAATATTGATGACTGTTGAATATTGCTGTGCAGCCGCTGCTAACAGAGTCTTCTCTGCTCGGTCACTCCTCATAGCTTTCTCAGGTTCTGCTAAGTGCTCTGAACCAAGACCTCATCCAGTTCACACTCAAACCGGGGGTGCAGGTGAACGTGTATGCCACGCGGCTGTCTCCGGGTGAGTCCGCTTGCATCTGCCGCACACCTGCCTGAACAGTCCAATCCATTTTTAGGAAAAAGTTGCATTTCTGCTGGTTGTCTCTAAATTTGAGGCCAGACTTTGTGCAGCTCTTCCTGTTTGGAGATGAAGATGAATTGTAGGTCTACAAGCAAACATACTAAGCTTAATACATGTTGTAATACATGTTAATACCCTGGGGAGCTGCGTTGATAGTGAGTGGATTATCCTGGTGAAATAAAGTAAACTAAACCATAAAGAAAAGATAAAAGTGTTGATTGGACATTAGCTCTCTTGGTCATGATTCTCAAATATTGTCAGCATAATAAGACAGTGGTGATTCCCGCTTGTTACATAATAGGATTATTATGTAAGTTATGCTCATATAAGATGAAAATATTAATTTCTCCTCCTTTGGCCTGAATGTGCTCTGAGTTTCTCTTTCTATTGTTTCTCCTTCAAAGCTCCTCTTGTGGACAGCAGTGATAGTGGCCACAGCGGCACTGCAGTCATCATGCTCGTCTCAGTCGTACTGATGGGCTTGGCCGTCTTTGTAATATATAAATTTAAAAGGTACAGTATATAATGGATATTGGATATTGCAACCACATATAGAGCACAGTCAAAGGGAAAACGGTTGAAAATGAATCCTCAGATTTTCAGCCTCACATCATTGCAAATATCGACCATAAGATAGATGTGATATTGTTGTTTTATTTGTGTGTGTGTGTGTGTGTGTGTGTGTGTGTGTGTGTGTGTGTGTTTGCATAATGGCTCTATTTAGAGTTGGTCCCATTATCTACAAGCAAGCACCTCACTGCTGAACTGCTAAAACTTTCCAGAAGTATTCAGACACCATATATCTCTGAGTTATGGACACTCGCAGCACAATAATAGCTTGAGGAAGAAGACAATTCCCCTCTGTCTCAATCTGCAGAATATTACAGGGAATGACAGTCTAATCAATTCTCCCACAGTGCTGAATGGGTGTCAGAGTCCTGCAGTTATCAATATTCATCTATCTGACAATGTGAGGGTTGACCTTTCAGAAATGCTAAACACAGCCATTCAAGGTGAGGCATACTCTGCAGAATGGCAGGAAAGGTTGAGGAGATAAGTCCTGAGACAACATATATTATACAGTGAGGGACATACAGTAAATAGCATCCTCTGCTGCAGGTAATCCCATGCCAATCACAGGGGGATGGTTTACTTCCTCAGGAGTTTGTAGAATTTTTACTCATTATAAAGTAAAACATTACTTAACTCTAACTTTCTGGATTATAATTACGACATTAAGAAATCAACTTTGAGTTTCAAAGGCTGCCTCAAATGTCACAGCACCAGCTGCGGCACAAAGTCACAAGGGGAAGAATCTGAAATTAGAAATGCAAGATGTTAGTTTTAAGCAGAATTGGGGGTGCATCTGAGGGGATGAAAAATTGATTGAAAACTGAGGTGAACAATATGAAAGTGAGAGAGCAATGCCCAGTGGAATGCAAAATGCCCTAGTTTCCAGCTTTCAAGCAATCCTCTCCCATTCTTAACAGTTAAAAATAGTGTGTGACACATTATGCTTAGTGAAAGCATTAGTGAAACAGACCTGATGGCAGGTTTCCATTAACTTGTTTTTTTTTTTTTTTAAATCTTTTTTTTTTTTTTTTCTTTTCTCCTCTGCATAACCTACAGGAAGATCCCAGGCATCAACACATACACAGCGGAGCAGCCTGACAAAGAACAAGAGGTCATCCCAACAGTGACCTCCATAGCAGTCCCAAACCCTGAGGGGGAAAAGCTGACCTCACTGGATCATGTGGATGTACAGTTGGACTCAAAAAGCAGAGGTGTGTGTCTAGTTTTCTTCCTTAGAGCTACAGTCAGACCTCAAGAACCCACAGGGTTTACTCACATTGGTATTTTCAGACTCTTGTGTTGGATTTTGAAGGTCTGTTGTTTACATGCTGTTGTATTCAGTCACTCAGTCTGTAGTTTTAGACCTGTAAGGAGGTCAGGTAATCACCACCTGCATTGAATGTATCACCTTCCAAAGCCACCAAAATGTTGGTAATGTTGGAATCACTTAAAGGGTCAATTCACTCGTATGATAAAAAACATTTTGTGTATTATATCTAGTGGTATCTAGTGGTTTTATTTGTATTGAGATATCAATCTCTGTGATTCCCGCTGCCACACCAACACTGTGGAGGTGGCTGGAATTTCATTATTTGTAGTGACAGAATTGGAAAAAGGAAAAAAAAAAAAAAAATCACATTTAGAAGAATTCAATATCAACATGTCTTTCCTAGAACTGTTTCCCTATTACTCTGGATAATCCACAGAACAGTTTTTTTTTTTTTTTACTGGAACTATTTCTTAAGTAGAAAGTAGTTTGTATAAAAACTATTCAAAGTGAAGAGAAAAATTGTGAAAGTATGAGCTGGTGAATTTTCACTCTATCTTCCTTTTACTTAATTTGAAGCCACTTTGCCTGAAAAATTCATGGATGTTTCTTCTTGTTTAGTAGCAACCTCCTGGTCACCTCCGGCAAATTTACTTTGTTCAACTTTTTCTTGTGAATTTGCAGAAACAGTGTGGAGCAGTGTGTGTGTTTGTGTGTGTGCAACGTAGTCATCATTCTAGCTGACTTGTAAACTGAGTTGGCTGTTCACATTCAAATGCATAATGCGATCCATTATCAGGAGAACCTTCTCTTGCTGTTGCTGTAGCTACAATTTGCTTGAAATTTTGCACATAAACAGACAACGTTTTTTAGGCACACCTAGCTAAAGCTAATTCAGGCTAACATGCACACGCACTATATTATATTACGCTCCACAAAGAAATAAAAACAAAGTAGCAATGTGCTGTTATCTGGTTTAGCGCAATGCTACACTACCAGGCTACAAACTGCAGCGTCACTATTATAAACCACTTACAGCAGGTGATCACTCTGCTCATATCTGTTCATCACCACAGCACACTGGTGACATTCATATCCTTTTTGGGGATTTGAGTGTGGAGCAGTTTGATTGGACAGAAGGCAAATGTGACCATACCTTAACCAGGACATTGTTACTGGAAAAACATGTTGCTGTTGAATTTTTTTAATCTAATTGCAAAATGCTTTTTTTAATTGCTTTTTTAATCTAATTGCTAAATGCTGAGCACACCATAAACACCACTTCCTTCATCACTGAGAAAATGTTTGATCTGATCCTTTAGTACAGCAAAGAAAGTTCTGGCAAACAGCGGTCATAAGTTGAAGCTCATCGACGAGGAAGAAATACCTGGTATTCGCTTATTAATAAGTGCTGATGCGACTCTTCCTCCCCTGGTGTTATCATTTGAGTTGCCAAGATACAGTTATTATTACATCTTGAATATTTATGTGTTTGCCAAGCTGAGTTTGACATAGCGCGGTATTAGTATTCACAGGTAAGTGAAACACAATCAAGTGCGGGCTAAAGTGATGAAATGTCGAGGTGAATTATTTGACCCAATAAAATAATTAGTGCATCAGGAAAGTAGCGGAGTGGTGAAAGCATTTTCATCAAGAAATATCTATGAGGTTCCAGCTGATTTACCTCTACCCGTAGCTAAACAATCGACCCGCCCAAGATAAATGTGTTTGCCTGCAAAAATACACCCGCATGCAAATAGCTACATAAAATTCCTCCTCTGTCTTTTTCCTTTCTTCTCCCTCGCCAGGCTACCTGCCATCTCACACAGACATCAAGCTCTCTGATGAAGCGCCCCATGTGTTTTAATGTTGAGAGTCTATGACCGACTCAAAAGCAATACATCTTCTTTGGCAGTTACTTCCAGCAAGCTATGAAACCACGGTCACAATGAATGGTCTCGAGTGTTTTGCTACCCATGCATGGATGGACCAGTTCACACTGTGCTGCCTAATCCCTCTGAGGAGACTGTACAGATTTATACTTGCGTCTTGAAAAGGGACACTTTTTGACTGAAAATACTTGTATTTTTGCAAGGACAATGATCTTTTTATGTAAATAATGTACATCCATAATGGAAGAAGTAAAAGTTATTTGTCTCAGCTAGTTACAGCTGCGTCTGCTCAAATATGAAAATGTCAAACAGCGGAACAGAAGTGATGTGTAATAATGTCTCAAAATATGCTTTGATTTCTGTTCTTCGGGCTTGTGTTTGTGAAGTTTACTTTGTTTAACTATGTGGAAATAGCTTATCTGAGTGAGACAGTGAGGGACGCAGATTCATTAAGCTCTGTACAATCAGTAAATCTTATCACCAGAGTCTCATCAAATGAAAGCTTGCAATATCCAGGAGATGGAGGAGGGCTTCTAGTCCCAGATCTGTGTATTCCATCAAGTCTGTCTCTTTCCCGCTCAAAATATTATATGTGTCATAACAAAAATAAGAACAGCAGATTAAAGTGGGTGTACTAGATAGGTGTATACAGTCGATGAGAAACTGAGCAATCCCTCTTGTTTAGGAGACTTAAATAAGTTATTTTAGTGACACTGGAATGAATGCTAGCATCATAAATGTTAAACCTACTTTAAAACAGATTACACAAAAAAAATCCTTGAATCTGAATCATGCATATGGAATATTATTGCAGCAGCATTCTTGTATTTGATTGATTTACAGTCAATTTGACTGTTAAACAATGCAATGACTTTTAAACTTGTGCTCCATATTTATTTGATGCCAGGAGCATTTCTTGTACATTCTGGTTTCTAGATGGGAAAACAAAATGTGAATCTTCTGAATAATTACTGTGTTAACAAAGAGACACTTGCTGTAATGCAGTAAAAAAAAAAAAAAAAAGTGCCACAGTCTCACATTAGTTTTAATTAGTTATTAGTTCAAGGTTTATTCGCTACTAGATTTACAACCAGACATTTTAAAAAAGATGCCTTGACACAGTTACAAGATATTTCTGAAGCTTTTGTTGTTTTTCTTTGAACTGATCTCACTGTGAAGGTTGTGGTGCCCTCTTAAAGGTAAAGTACAACATTGAAACTGCACCAGGTTTGAATGGAAACATGCTCTTTTTTTGGGGGGGGTTGTGTTGAAATACCTTTTATTTATTCTTGACTGTTCATATTAGCCACATTGATACCAGCATCTCCACCTGACATTTCCTCAGTTTACAGTGAAGCAGAGGAGCCTGCAGTCTGTGTGCTAGGTTTGCCCCCAAGGACTCGGTGGACGAAAGGCTGAAGATTTGTTCATCTCCTTTGCTGCGAGGGACGCAGAGATAGAGAAGACGTATCTCCTGTCAACATGGCTCAGCCTACGCACAGAGCTTTGGTCAGCTGCTGTCTCTTTGGGATAAGTACTGAAGTTCTTCTTCATCAAACTTTTCTTTTTAAATGTTGTCAGCATCATATGTCAGTAAGACAAATTGACTAGAGGCTTCTCCATACTTCTTCCCTCCAATCCTCCGATTGAGCCTGAAGCATAAATAAACTCGTACTCTTCATCAGACGAACTCTGCCTCTCCACGCCGATCATCAGAAGAGTTTTATTTTGTGCTTGATATTTATTTAACGGAATTTTTTTTGTAGTCCCACTAATCAACCTGTGAATACGATTGTGAACATATTTGCATGATGTTTTTTTTTTTCGATCTTTCAAGATACTTAAAATATGTCTTAATTAAGAGAAAAATGAAATGTTAGAAATGTGAACTGCGGTATTTTCCATTTCTCAAGAGGCTAGACGACTCATTCATTACAAGTGACGTGATTATTCAGTGGGTTGTTACTGTGTTCTTCATTTGACCTTGCAGAAGTAACCATGGTTGCAGAATAAAGCAGAAACACAAACATTAATTCAGTGTGGCTGGTTGTAAAAGTCATTTCTAAGAGCATAAACAGCTTATTTTCTCTGTCTTCGATCTGTTAAAATCCATGGAGGCGTCTGCGGCGCAACTCAATCAACAGACCTCATGAAGGGAAAAACTATGACTCCACCTTATCTGACTGTGACTCAATCACAAATTGGAAGTTTTGATCAATGGGGACTCTCACTGTTGAATTTTCTCTGTCTCTAAAGTGTTGCTTAGCATGTGCAAAGTTTCAGTGCAGCCATTTGCATGATACAGTGGGGCCGAGCGGGAGCACAATGAAAAGCACCAAATAGCCTGGAGTGATTCTAATGGGCTAGTTCTTTGGCTCTCCCACTGTGCTACAAATTAATTATCTCCTCTCCAGGAAATCGACACATACACACACACACACACACACACACAAAGTCAAGGAAGATTTACCCAGACTGGGTAGCACCTTGAATGAAAAATGTCCCACAACAATAACCCACAGCAATATTGTGTTAGCCACAGTGTGAAATTGATGAGCATGTTTCCTTTCATTGAGTGCTACATTACAGCGTCTGGCTGCCGCGAATCATCCATTAGTGATTGTCACCGTTCAATTTGATTGTGCGCCGCTGAACATCCCAGGGCAGTTAGAGAAAGGCCTTGGTGTTAATTCAGACTGAGAGCAGGAGCGAGAATAAGACTCTCGGGGCACTGATGGCTGTTGGAGTGATGAAGATTGGTGCGTGATATGAAGCTGTTGAAGTGGCAAACAAAATGCAAAACAGAGGAACAAGGGCCTTGTTGCTACGGTTTTGAGTGTGAAGAGTTATTTCAGCCAATCAGCCGCACAGTGCTGTCCTCTAACCTCAGTGTCTATAAGCCATTTTAGTGTTCATTTTTTTTCAAAAAGAATGGAAAGAGAGCAATGGTGACGCAAGCAGTTCTTTACAAAATCACCTGTTTCTCATCACTCGACTTCAGCCTCAGTAATTGTCCACATTAAATAGAAAACTGTCTGTAAATGGCAACTTGAGTGATGGAGTGATGGAGGTAAAATGAAGCTCAGTCTAAGTGTCAGATGGGAATCTTCACATGGGTGTTATCACACTTCTGCCCATTAAAGTCGACCCTCAGAACTTCTTTGGGATCATTATAAGTGGTAGGCTGAGAATGATACACCGTCTGCTACAAGGAACCTGCGCTTCAGATAAGACTGGCAATGTTGTAAAAACAGAGCTTTGTGAGCCCATTTGTTTCCAGGTTCATGATCATGACAACATGGTCATTTCTCATTCACTGACAGCCAAAAAGTCTGTCTTGCCCTCCTTTTGCTATAGGAAAAAAAAGTGTAAATCGTATTAATATCTCACATAATCCGTTACAACACAAACTGTAGGTGCATGCGTAATAGAAAAACATAATTCCATAAAAAAATACATTTATTTTGAACAATTTCAAAATGGCAATTTGTTCACAGTAAGAAATATGATTCAAAACAAGACGATTTTTATATCATCCACAAAAAGCAACAGTAGATCAGATCATGCACAACTTCTGGGCAATTGCACAACTAGACTATTAGACAGTGTGTTTAATAATTTATTTAATGTGTTAAGTAAACTTCAAAATCACCATGAGATATATATATATATATATATTTATATATATGTACAGTACTTGCTCACCCTAATATAGTCTTAAGTCTCTTATCACAGATAATTAGGGCATGCTACTGTAAAAAAAAAAATCTAATAAATAAAAAAAAAAAAGGACATACAGCTTGTCGTGAGACTGAAGGTCATGGAAACAGACTACTTCCTGTTTACAATAATGTAGGATGAAGCTACTGTATAGATTTACATTCCATCTTATTATATGTACAAGTTTCTGTATTTTCCACTTCTAAGGCCAGACCTCCATTCTCATATATCAAAGTTTTGTTTTGTACCATCATGTGAAAGATAAGTCATTGAAAGCACCATGTTATCTTACAGAGCAAAACCAACAACACAGTTCTTTCTTAGAAGCTTTCACAACAGTCAGATTTCAACATTTTTCTATATATATTCATTATATTTACAAATCAAAGACCTCTAGTTATAGGGCGGTAAATGTTAATGTTTATCCAGAGCATAAAGTGTCATATCAAGATGATGGCTAAACCTAAAATGACCTGTTAATTGTATTTCTGTCGCATGGAGGCAGAGCAACATTTTGTTCTGCCTTCACTGACAACTCTTTGTCGTTTGGGGTTTTATTATTCATTCAGGATGTAAAAGAAAAAGGCAAAATTATTAGCAAAACAACATAAAATGGTTACACTTGGCTAATCTTATAGCCTCTCGGTTCATTTTGTGTGACAGAGGGAAACATTAACAAGTACCGTGAGGTTTCAGAAACATTTTTTTTATTACGATAAATTAGTTGATCCTTTCAAGTCCTGGATAATATTGTAATGGCTTGAGGGCCTAAATGTCTGTAAAGTGACTCATGAAATCTGATGCTGAATTTAAGGTGACTTTATCAAACCTGTACAGTAAAGCCTACACATTCTCTCTCTTGTGCTAACCTTTTCTCATTTACATTACATCAATATTTTTCGCAGACTGGTTCTTACGGTAGTGTCGAAGCTTTTGAGGTATTTTACTTTAGTGACTCAGTCTGTGCCTCCTATCTGTATATTATCCTAATGAAGAAGCATGTTGATGTCACAGGGAGTAAAAAATTGGCCATAACATACCCAAATTAGTAATGTCACAGCCATGGCGGTGGTAAAGAGCAAAGGATTCCTGATACTAATTGGACGTTTTGTGTCGGGTACTGTAGCAATTCACCGCCCTCAAACTAGAGGCCCCAGAGTCTGGCTTGGTGTACTGATCTTCATCAAGTATTGTAAACTAGATACTTACTCTATCCATGTGAGTTAAAAACATGACTTTGAACGATAGCAGCTATAAGCGTAAAGGAAATAAACAAATAAAAACAATGCAAACAATTTCAGCACAACTGTAACACAACAATCTGTACTTACTGGGTAACAGAGCGCATGTCTTAGACATTAGTACAGTTTGGAAATTCCCTTGTAACAATTCTCTCCATATTTCTTCCAATCCCTCCTGTAAACATGCAAACAAATGATAAAACAGACTAAATACAGGGACAGTCAGCTGCTTTAACTTCACATGCACATCACAACGTGACACTGATGTTGGTGTGAAGTAAAAACGGTTTTTAAACATCAGCCAGAAAATTCAAAGTTCAATCCAGATTGCTCTAATCTTTTTTTACATGAACATCAGATGGTTTGCACATGCTTTTACACCTCATTATAAATTCATCACCCGGGCATTTTAGTCGAAAAGCCCCCTGTTGTCTCAACAAAAGGAACATGGGCTACACGAGCAGGGCTGAGCTGGTGATGAAGAGCTGATTAGATGGGATCGCTGTGACAAGTAGGGTCGTTCAGATTGTGCAGACACTGGCTTTTTCAAAAGGTGGCACTTTTATCTCTCAACTGTGTCAGTAGTTTAAACTCAGTGATTTGTACAAAGCTGCATGAAGCTAATTTCATGTTCGCCCATATAACTTATAACCTGGCAGTAAATTCATCAAGGTAAAGCTCTGGCTGTCAGTTCAGATTTGCTAAAGAAAATGTGATTTATGACTTTTAAATTGCTTTTATATGGAGCATATTTTAAGAGTAAAATCTATGTAGTCTGTATCAAAATCACAATTTAAAAAAAGAAAAAGATGAGATGAAGTTTAAAATGAAGAATAAATGCTCTTTATCAAATTTCTTACTATTTAAAAATGATCTTCAAAAAGTTGGCTAAAAGTTGATCTTAGATGGCTGCAGTACAGAGACTCTGACACATGCTTTCACTGGCTGTACAAAATGATTTCTCTGCTGTTCCTCGTCTGCCAGCAGCAGAATTTCTCTACTGTTCCTGTTCGGTTTTCTTTTTGCTTCCATTTCAGCTGATCTATTTCATCCCAATCTATATATTTACATGTATATTAGATGGTTGTTCATTTGCTAATTCCCACCGGATTGATCAAACAAGTGCAATAACTGATTTTTTTGGCCACCTGAAGGCAGTGGAAATAGGTTGTGAACACGACACTGGCATCTTTAAGTTGATATGTTGAACCCAGCAGTTATGGAGCCACATTTTTTTCATTTCAATAACATTCATTTATTTGCATTTGTATTTCTGGGCATCTGACAAATTTAAATCCAATATACACTTTTTTTTAAGCTCTGTTTTTGGTTTCCACCAGATCCTGAGGGAAATATCTGGCGTTTTAGCTGCTAAATTATCCACTATATTCAGCCGAGAATCCCTAACTGTGACTGTCTGCTGTTTTGGGTGGAGCAGGTATAGTGTACAGTGGGTTGTTGTTGAGTTTTTTCACTGAATATGCCTGTTGCTGCTGAAAATAACACTGAGAGAGCCAAAACAGTAAAACAGCTGAAACTCACTAGACAACTCAATAAGGCAGAGGGGAGCTGCAGATTCAGGTGATGATTCTCTGTAGGTTCATCACTACAAGCAACACCTCTCACAGTCACATTGTCATTCAGTACATTGTTATTATGAAAAAAATCATTACAACAGCTCCAAAGATTTTACACAAATAAAACTTAATTACGAACGTTATTTTGCAGAATAACTATCACTAGATAAAAAATGGAGCAGATGTAGGATGAATCTTTGTCTCTTAATGGATGTCATGTGATCAATTAAGAGCTACTCTTAAATGTTTTATTCTTACACTGTAAGTAGAAGTGACTAACTTTTATTTCTCACTGTCAAAGACATTTCTTTACTCCCACAGTAAGTGTAAACGTGGTCAGAGAATAATTCATGCTAATCAGAGAACTGTTTTTAGAGAAATAACCCCATAGTTTCTTTCATAGTATTTATTTTGCGTCTCATATTTAAAATAGACTAAGGAAATAGAACACGTCTACCTGGAAATTGACTTTATTTCGAAGTAGACCTGTTCTGACGACCTCCTGCCCGCAGCAAGGCATCATACACAGTAATCCTGAATCTCTTTCACAGCTTAATTCATTCTGATTTCAACTGAACTGCAAATGTCTACTTATTATGAAACATGAGCTCATGTGAGCTGTCATGTTAGTTCTTCAGAGCTGATTGCTATTAACATAAATCAAATTAAAATCCTAAACTAAACTTACATTACCTACAATTTTCATTGTAATCAGTCAAATCCTGCTTGAAATGTTCAAATCTTCATTTTAACTTTTATGAATTTTGACTGATAGCTTGAAGCTGCAGTGTGACTGTCTAGGACCAGCAGGTCTTCTTATTAGAGCTTTGTAAAGCCATTTATTAAGAGCACACAAAAATCACCGAACCCAGACATTAATTAAATCAAAACTGGTTAATGTGTATTCCTCTGTTAGGGGGCATATTTCCCACTGGCTGGAGCACAACCTACCTTAAAACGGGCAATGGAAAATTCAATACTTCATAAAATATATTTCAAAGGAATATTGTATTTCGACAAGGTATATTTTTAATACGGTTACATCTACACGTCTAGTGAGTACTCCCAATATTCTCGCAATAGTGAGAAATACTGCAGATGAACCAGTGACTGCAATATCCATGATAGGTGAATGATTATCATTAATTGTGTAGTAGGTGGACAGTGATCTGATCTACTGAGTTCATCTGAAAGCAGATGATAGCCTTAGATCTTCCTGTAAACTTGTGAAATGGATTGAAGCTTTGTGGGAGCATTTGTATCCCAGCCAAAGTCAGACTGCGTGAGAATCGAGCCAAGCTTCAGAGTATTGATGAAATCTTTAAACAGCAAGTTGTAAATTCATTTAATCTAGCGAGCCCCACATCAAAGGTCCCATGCTGTGCTGCCCTTTTGTAAATAAACACTTCTGAAAGCGACCAAAAACGGAGTTAATTTGTTTCAGATCAGCAAGGACTTGGAAAGGTAGAAACAGCTGAGAAATGAGAAATAGCCAAAGTGCTGAGTGACCAGAAAAAAGGCCTGCAGCCCACATGTCTGTGTCAGGAGCACTGCACTGCTACTTTTGTCAAATAATCCACTCTGTCTGCAAGGACCGAATAGTTCTCATCTAAAAGACATCACAGTGGATGTCAGCCATAGCAATCAAAAAGTTAGCTTGTCATTGTGATATCTGGTAACTGTGCGGATGCTGAAGTTGTGCGTGCGGTGTGTGACATGCTGCATTGGTGGTGCCGTTCCAGGGAGCTGAGATCTGTGCCAGATTTCAATGTATGGAATCCTCGCTCAGAGAAGAACCATTTATATAAAACTGAAATAAAGTTGAGTTTTTGCTTCTACACCAAATACCGTTAAATTATATTCAAAACAGATGCTCAGTGGTGTGTTTTGAGGGCAATAAAATGTTAATCAGTATCAGTCTCCTAGAGTGACAGTCATCCCTTAAATCCCGTATTAATGTGTCCGAGTAGTGCACAGATATAAATGCTCTGTATTTAATTTAGTCTTGGCATAAAAAACTGCATCACAGCTGCCAAATAGTTTTTAATGATTGTTTTACATCCTAAATTACATTGACTTAAAATCAGTGGTGGGAAGTAACATTTTAAGTTTGCAGGAGGTTTTTTGTCAATGACAGATTTCTGCTCTCTCTACAAATCTTCAATGCAACTTAGGTCAGGACTCATTGCTGACCAGTTTGAAACAGTCCATCTTTTCCTTTTCAACCATTCTTTAGTGCTGCTGGATGTGTGCTTTGGAGCGTTGTCCTACTGAAAGACCCAAGACCTTTGCCTCAGACCTAGTTTTTTGACACTGGGTAACACATTTAGCTCTGAATGCCTTGGTAATCTTCTGATTTTATCAATCCTTTGATACATTCAGTGTTTCCAGTACCAGAGGCAACAAAGCAGCCCCACAGCATGATAGAGCCCTTAGAGGTTTTACTGTAGGCACGGTGTTCTTTTCGTTATGGCCTTCATTTCATCGCCAATAAACAAACTGATGCACTGCATTACCAAAGAGCTATACTTTGGTTTCAGGCTGTGGCTTATCTATAAAAAGTTTTTGAAAACATTAGTTTTGCCTTTTTGTGCCTTTCATTCAATAGTGGTGTCCTCCTTGGCCTCTGCCCGTGGAGCCCCATTTGGTTTAGTTTTCCAGAGTAGGGTATGGGCTGGAACTACCTTTACAGATTGCTCCGGGTCAGCCTGAAGCACTTTAGATGTTTTTTTCCACAATCAGCACCAAACTTCACAGACTTTGGACAGATATACTGATACCTAATGGACAGACAGACCAATAAATCTCATTGAGTTTCTTCTTTGTGCCACATCCTGGAGGCGTCTGAACAGTTTTGACTGTGAAACGTCTTGATAACATTTAACACTTATTTGATAATAGTATATCTGATGCTCTCTTGTCTTTGCCATTGTGGAAAAAACTGTAAACAATCGGCTCCTTTTTATGCAGTAAAACCATCATTTATTGGTTTATCCAGGTCATGTGAACTCTGAAAATGAAGCACAGGTGAGTCTGACTTGTTTTTTTATTTTATTTTGTTTGAGGCGCTAATAAAATACATTAAGAGGTTTCCAGTAATTGGTTCCAGGGTAACTTTTGTGTTCACTATAGAGCAGGTTTTTTGCTCAGTAACCTTGGACATTTTATTAAAAAAATTCTCGTTATACAAAATTGGTTCATTTGCATTTCTTTCTGCAGATATTCTGAATTATGTTCTTGAAATCTTGAGTCAAATACTTTTGACCAGGACTAAACTTTACTTCAGTATTTCAACTTTATACTTTTGTACTACCAGGACATTTCAGAGGGAAATGTTTGATTTTGATGAATGTAATGATTTTTAAATTTTGGTATCACTTCTTTAACTTAAGTAGAAGATCTTCATATTTGTTCCACCACTGCTTATAATTCTGTAGTAGTAGTAGTAGTAGTAGTAGTAATAGTAGTAGTAATAGTAGTAGTCCTAGTAAATGTGTAACTGGTGTACCTCTGCTCCTGGCCTCCAGGTCCTTTGCCATGAGTTCTTTTGGAGAGGGAAACTCAGTGAGCTTCACCTTGGACATGTTGTCGTTCTGACCGACTGTACTGATCACTTCCGGTTCTTTCTCATGACTGTCCTCAGTCTGGACATGGATCCAGGGGATTTTCCTAAACACAAAGAGATAACAGCTCTCACCAACGATAGAGGCCGTTTTTTCAGATTTACAGCTGGATTCAATACAGTTCCTTTTCTCATCTGAGGGAACACACCTTTTGAACTTGTAGATGAAGAATGCGGCTAGACCGACAAACACCACAGTGAGCAGCATCAGCATGGCCGACCCACTGTGGATGGAGTTTGAATCCACAAGTGGTGCTGAAAGACAAGCACGTCAAACAAGTGTCACAGTTTTTCTGTTTTTTCCTAAGCCATGTGTTATTTCAAGGAGATTACTTTCATTACCCCATGCCATGTAACAACTGCAGACAAAGAGCTGCTCTCTGCGTGTTATCCCCTTGAGGTATTAAAAAGAACCTTTAGGTGGTCTGGTGCCTCTCACTGGGGACTGTCATGCAGGTAACTTATGCATAGTCATGGATTTTTAAATGCTGAGATGCAATATTCAAAGTATTTCCCCCTCACCGCCCATCTTTCTCTCCTTCAGAGAGAAGCCTATGAAGTCTACGACCTTTCTGGATCATTTTAAAGGCAACCCAGACCTTTGTATGCAGACACAAATGAAGACAGATCCGCTGGTGGATGAAAAGGGTAAAGCCACGCAGCCTTGATCGACACGTTTTTGCGATATGCTAATGACCCGGTGACCCTGCCGATTTCCTCAGTGCATACCAAATGCCTTCTTTGTCAATCATGTCATTGATCGGCTGATTTCAAAGAGAACTACTGTCTCGCAGCTTCAGGTGCAAAACTGATGCACTGTGAAGGATATTTAAATCCTATGATATACAGTATCATATGGATCTCACTCAGGAATTACTGTTGGCTTTGTCTTATTTTACTGTTTCAGTGTTTGAGTAGAACTCAATGTCAAATTATCCAAAGAAAGATACACGTCTTATCTTTTGCACATCAGTGAGCAGAACAAATGCACTGTAGATGTGAAGACATACTGTGCTAAACTGACACAAATTAAGCCTGAAGCATTTGTGGATGCTCTGTTTTTATGCACCTGCAAAAGGTTTTTAAATGTAACAGTTGCAATCAGTATGCAGAAATCATAAGCTGAAGTTACAATGAAACTTACCCAGAGTTTGCTGAGTCATGTACACAATAATGCGAGTATCAGCTTTCAACTCAAACTGGATCAGGCCTTGGTTCAGGGCAGTGACAAAAATATCTGATATCTGTTTAAGGTGTTACACAGAGACACAAAAAAATCAAACAAGGACATTATGAGATGTGCTGCAATAAATAAACACAAATCTCTCTGAGATCAAATATCATGCCTTTTTCATATAATGAACTGGCAATTTGTAGCTAACACTTGGTTTGTTGGCTCCTTTAAATAACAGCAGATATGAAATCACACATTAAAAAAAACAGAGCCAAAATCAATTAATCTCATTATTAACTGGTGGACATGTTTTAGTAAAAGCCTTCATATACTTTTTTCATACTTAATCACATTATATTATTGAATGTGTCACATCAGTAGAAGTGAGACAGCTTCTTCATAAAAGTTCACATGAGAACTAACTCAATATTTGCAAATTTCACGGTTCTTACCGTCTCTAGAGCCTCCTCGCTCCCTCTCTTGTGCTCACTGGCTGTATGCTCATCAGGCAGGATAAAGAGCTCTGCTGTAGTTGGAAGTCCTGGGTACAGAGAGACCAGCAGCTGATCTCTAGGAAACCCAGACACCTGCAGCGACAGGACAACACAACAGTCACCTCAGAGGTTAAAGTTTGGTCAAAACGACACCGTCCCATGACTTTCATTCTGACATCAGCTTCAATTAAAATTCACACTAGGTTACTGTCATAACACATAAACTATAAAAAGAACAAGTTTCTCACATGGACCATATAAAACATCATGACTTCTGTATCAATACTGCACACAGGTATAAAATAGTAATGACCCTGAAAGCCACTGGTAGACGATGTTGGCTCCAGGAAAGATCTCAGTGCAATAGGGACTTCATGTACCTGTGACAGAGCTGCCCGCACCACACGGCCTATGTCCTCCCTCCACTCGGGGATGTCAGGATTGTGCTCATCAAGCGCTGGCGAGAACGACAACAGCAGCGACCTGAAGAACTCTGGGTAAAAAGGTTTAGTGATGTCTGTGAGAATATGAATGCTACTTCTGGTTTAGTTTCTGATTAATCTGATGTGCAGTTTTGTCTTTTTTCATTTGGCAAACATATGCCTTGAAGTTAATTGCTCCTCAAGATTTCATGTTCGTTTACCGTGACATTTTATTCATTAGGTAAGTCCACGTTGACATCAACGTGGCGCCACTTGCAGCGTGGACAGAGAGGCATCATACTTTTCCAGAGATAACGCATTGCATATTCATGTAACGTGCATTGCACCAATTAAAGTGTGTTGAAGACTGTCTCCCCCACTCACCTTTAACAGTTATAACTTTTGAATCCTGCATTACGGTGCTCCCAGAAGCAACCTGGACCGTGACCTTGTTTTTCCCCTCTCTCTGAAACGTGTATGAGATGCTTCCCTCCAAGGTTATAATGGGCTGGATTTCAAAAGAAAAAACACAGAGAAATGCACAGAAAACCCCACATCCTCTCTGCTGCATATAGAATACTATGTACATACAGCCCTTGACGTACTGTATAATGAGGAGGAAGAGGAGGAGGGGGAGTGATAAATAAATATGACCAGCCACCTTGGCTGGATCTTCCAGAAAAACCCAGTGTGGCCACGTGCAGTTACATTCTACATGATTTGTGTGAAAACCCTGCAGATTTACAACAACACAAGGACACCCAGAGAGGAGGAGATGGAGAATGGAAAAGGCCGCAGTAAACAGCACAAAAAGTGTGTGTGGAACAATAGTGGGAGGAAAACAAGCTTCTCACCTCGGAGCTGTTGTCAAACCACCAGAAGAAGGTCAATGTTCTGGTGTGACTCGGCCAAACCACCGCAGTCAGATTAGCCTCCTTCCCCCTGATGGCTACAATAGGAACGGAGAGATATACACGCTCCACAGGACCTGAGGCAGCAGCACACACATCCATCCATACATAGGTGCACACACATGCGCATACAAGTAAATGCACGCACACACAAAGCACACACAAATTCAGCAAACTCTGAATATTATTGTGATCACAGCTCATGTGCATTTAGCTCCAGGTGTGTGCTTTTGCATAAAAGTAATGCAACCATGACTGAAATGTAATTCTGCAGACTGGGAATGTGACTATCCATGAAAGAGAAAGCATTCATGCTATATGCACTGCCGCAGGAAGGAGTAATGACATTTCTTATTCACATACTGGTGATGTGTAAAAACAGTGTGCTGCTGTCAGATCCCTGGCTGTTCTCAGCTGAAGCTGTCACTCGGTAAATCCCAGTCGTTCTGTAGATGTGCATGATGCCATCATCAGTCCTGCTCAGGTTAGAGTACGTGATCTTGATGCCGTCCCCAAAGTCTAGCTGGATGCTGGTCCTCAGCGAGTCTCCCTGTGGATGGACGGTAAGACATGGCATCTGTCACCATGGCTTAGGACGAGATACTTTAGACCACACACAAGTGAAGTAAGCACAGCCCACTACTCAAGTGCTTGGGCTATGTCACAAACACTTTGTAGGTGATTTTGAATGGAGGGAGACAGAAATCCAACTGAGAAAAGACGAGGGAAAGTAAAGAGAGGTACAGAGGCAAAAGAGGTCATAGAAATAAGAAAGATCTTTTTTTTAATCTGCCAACTTGCCAGATGATAAAGTCATCCAAAACAAACTAACCTATTGCCATCATTCCAATGTTTTCACCCAAATGAGAAAACTTTATTTTTTCTTACTAACCCCCAGTGGCATCTAGTCATGCTGATAGCTTTGATTTTATTTCCTCATGTTTTGAGATATCCGTTCTGTGAGATTTCTGCTGCAGCACTAATATAACAGGTTAAAGAGGCTTCATTTGCAGTGCTCACAGCCATGAAAAATTACATTTAACAAATCAACAACAAACTGTCTTTCCAGAATCAGTATCAGTGTCCCCCTTACTCTGGGTAATCCACACAACAGGTTTATTTAGTCTATTTTTCAGAAGGAAGTAGTTCCAATATAAACAGTCCACAGTGAGATCTGAGGATTATCCAGAGTTAATGACATTGATTTTTCTTTTTTTTCAATTCACCACAAACAAAATTCCATTCACCCCCACAGCTCTGAGCTGGAGGCAGAAATCTCAGTGATATCTCAAACCCTGGGCAAATAAAAACAAAACTATCTGCATGACTACACTAGAGGTAAGTGAGGGAATGTGTTTTCAGCCATGCTAATGATGTGACTCTGGGGAGTCAGCAGCTGAAATATCTGAACAACTATTGGATTGATTGCCATGAAATCTTGTACAGACCTTCATGGTTCCCAGACGATGTATCCTAATGACCCAACTTTTCCTCTTGGGCTACCATGACGTTGGCACTTTTGGCTTTGTGTGAAACATCTCGACAAATATTGGCTGCATAACACCACAATGACTTAAGTTAAGTGATATGACTCACGTCTTCGAGGTAGACCATGAAAGTGACGTTACTGCCAACTGGGGCGCTGAGCTCTCCTTGATTGGTCGAGAGCCGGAGGCCTCGGGGTGGTCTGGGACGACAAGCCTGCCTCCTGGGCGAGTACACGTTCCTCCCTGCCTCCTTACAGTTATTGGACAAAACCTTCCGGTACCTTTGAAAGATCAAAGAAAGATTAAAGTTATTATATCATCCATATACTATATACCAGTTTTCATAGTATACAAGAATTGCATCAATTAAAATAATGTCAATCAAACTGCAGCTTTGGAGAGCTACCGTCAATTAAAGTTCAGAAAGAGACAGCAAATACTTGGAGCAATTTCTTCACCATCTAGAATCCATCTTAATTTATTCCATTTTTGAGCGACTCCTCAGTTGCATCTCTGGAATTATTTGTGGGACAATAGCGTGCATCAGCAGCACACAGATTTAGTATGCATACTTGCCTCTTTGAGTATTCTTAATTTTGTCACTTTTCAAGTGTGAACACACTGAATACTCAACACCTGCTTAGTTATATTTTGTATTATGGAATTAGGATACAACATTTCTCAGCTCTACTCAGAGCCTTTTCTTTCCTGAATTGTTATTTGTGTTTGTGTTGTAGACAACATAACGAACCAGCTGGAATGGAATAATATTGTTTTGTGATGGGTTGAACATTGGAGGCCACTTACCCTGTGCTGTTAAGGAAGCTTTGGCTGGAACTACAGCTTTTAGCTGCACCATTTGGATTAAACCAAAAAGCAGGGGAGCACTTCCCATCCGCCTGGCGCTCCCATCCATAATCACTGCCAAAAAACACGACACTTCATAAAATGATAAACACTGCTACTCAAATAATCTAGCTTCTACAAGCTTTTGTAGTGGGGCAAATGCTTCGCAGTTGGAGATTCATGGAATATTTTAAGACCATAACTAGAGACATGATTGTCAGACAAGCAGGATCAAACAGAATTTCAGACAGATGGATAAAGGATATTTAAAATTCATTTAGTGATTCATTATTAATTGAATTCTAAGAAGTCACTTGACATTATGCAAATTACAGTAGCACGATGAAAAGTTCCAAACTTCCATGTACAATTTCCAAACTATAATTACATTCGATGAACACAGTCATATTGGTTATCCCGTAAATATGCAATGTAAGATGGATATTAAGGCATATGAAGTTCAGCAAACTGATACTTCTGTTTTTGATTACAAATGTCTACAAGCGGCTGCTAATGAAGTACAATTGAATTAGATGTTCAAAGGAGAGGGGCTGTTTTGTAAACATGTAATCAAAGAAATGAAGGATCACTGAGGATAAAAGTCTGAGTTACAGTTTTGTCCCAGTTGGGAAAGCTGAGACAAGAAAGTCATTACCATTCAAAATCATAGGTTGTGCAGAGGCACGGCTCAGAGGAATAGATCCTGGAATAGTCCTGGACCAGCATGCAACGGTTGCCTGGCCTGCGCTTCATAAAGATCTGCCTCTCGCCCATCACACACAGCTCTCCCTATCAAACAAAGAAAAGGATGATGTCGTTTTTCACACGACTGGAAGAAAGTCAAAAAAAGAGACAGGAAAAATTCATGTTCCTGCATGAAGCGAGTGTACTTTGTTTACAATGACAACGGACAAACATGCATCTCTTGGAGCTAAATCAATAATGTTTAACATTGCTGTTACCTTGTTGTGCAGGTGCCATGTCTGATAATCTCCATCCATGCATCTCCTGCTGAAGAGGCCCTTGTAATCGATCTTGATCAGCTGCCACTCTGACCGATGGCTGAAGTGTCCAAAGAAACTGGAAGATGATTCACCAAAATGCAAATTTCAGATGAGACTACCGTGAGATGCAGATATACAGGTGTCGGATTTGATGGCGCAACAAGAACACCTGCAAATCTGAAGTCTGACAGCTGAGATAACAGTCCCTTTGACGAAAAGGTTTAAGTGACTGGGGAGAATCAAGCGGACCTTTCTTTGTTTACATCACCAGAGAAGCTAATTCTCCGAGCCTGATATTTGTCTCATTCCTCTGGGACTTTTGTGTCTCTGCTTACGTGATAATGTGATTGTCAGATTCTGGCTCCATTAAAACCCCATCCACATACAGAGGTGCCAAGGAGAAACTGTGACGGTCCCACTTCTTTCCTTCGTCGAGACTGATCCTGCATTAAGAGAAAAGCAACAGCTGTCAGTACATGAACATCTGTCTATGCATGTTTATCTGTCTGTTGTCGATAAACATATATTTTTTTCAACAACAAACAACATGAGCACACAAGTTAAGCAGAGACAAACAAGGTAAAAAGAAATATGACAAAAGATTTCAGGTTATTTAGCTTTTGCCACGGTTGAAAAATGAAGCACTTTCAATTCTCTTCAATGTGAAAAATTATCATGACACCAGACTGCACAGCAGAACAAATGTTCCTCGGACCAGGTAAATTTTTGAAGGTGACAAAACAACAGAGAAGAGAGATATGACTCTGGTTGTAACATTAGACATAGATTTGGGGGGTTTCAAATCACCTTTCTCAGAGCTTAATCACTTCTGACAGGGCTGTGGTGTGCGGGGACATCAAAGTAGATAGTGTTACAAAGCTCCCACAATATGAGGGAGTTATGAGGGCATCCTCAGTCTCATATTTCCACCCTGCTCTACTTCTCATTTACATAAAAGCACTCAAACCATCATATCCAACCAAGAGTACAAAGCTATAACAGACTCTCTTCTGTTGGAAATGATTCAGGCTCTGTTTTGAAGCTGCAGAGCCGATACAATAATCATGCAAACTTGGCCCATCAGCATTTCAAAAACATTAAATGTAATCATATGCTGCATCAAATCCCTGCACGGGAAAAATGAAATGATACTGGAGTAATTTACCACGACAACTCCCGCACCTACAGTTCCTACCTACAGTAACTATGACGTCAGTTATTGTTGAAGAGTCGCTTCACCTACCATAAGTGTCGAATCGGCGTCGCTGCGTGTAAGACTGCCAGCAAAGCCCCCCCATTATCAAGGAACCAAATGTTGTGCTCTTCATCAAAAATCTGCATTGGAAAAAAACCTCACATTTGCTCCATTTATGACAACACACTTTCAATATGAATACATCCTGTTTAAGGTAAACACACGTGCAGTCTGTAGACCCAGACGGCTCTCACCTGTCTCCAGCTATTTCCTGCATCAGATGTTATAAACATCCCAAGGTTGGTGGAGGACAGCTCTGTTCCAATATTCCCTGAGTACAAAAACATGAATAATTTCACTCCCTGTGTATTTACATAGCAAAGACTCCACAACACACTTATACTGTATACAGAATCACCTGATAAAATCGTTCGGGAGTTATTTTGTGAATCTGTGTATGTCCTATTTCTCCACCAGAGGACACATTTATGACTTACTGCAACCTAATCATCTCAGAGTTTCAGCGCCTGATTTCAATGACAGTAAGAGGGCACTGTGTGATTAGTGTTAAGTGTCTTTCTTGCATTTATCTGAGCAACTAGGAATACCTTTGTTGTTGGAAAATTTGTCTCACCATTTCTGTCTCAGGTCTCATGTGATCAGTTTGCATGACCTTTAGGTAACCTTACCTGTAGCCACGATGATTCCTGGAACAGACTTTTTGCTGGTGATGGGTCCAGACGTGTAGGGATTCTCCAACATCTCCAGATGAAGATGCAGCGAACAAAATGGCTGTCAACAAAAAAAAAAAAAAAACAGATTCCAGTACAGCACAGGTTGAGACACTACGTATCAAGACAGATCTTCACGGAAGCAATTATAATTAGCTCTGCCTTCAAAACTATTCTTCCCCATTGAGAGAAAAGCGCTAACATTTATAAAACAAAGATTCCTTTCATTTCCTCTGCCAAAAAAGAAAGAAAGAAAATGGCTGAGAGGACACAAAGGGCATTTGAATTGTTTCATTCTAAAGCAAACAAGGCATGTAATTAAAATTCCCCAAGATGCACTGATAAAACTGACAAAATTGATTAAAATAATTTCACTCATCTCTCAGACTAAAGCACAGTGAAAAACATCAATACAGCTTTTCAAACAGCTGAGGCTAAAGGGGGGTCAGACAGCAGACAAGAGCAGAATGGTCACCTGTATGACACAGTGGAAGATTGTAACCTGCTATTAGCTGAACAATGTACATTATTTCTCTAAAGAACATACTGACTGATTAGGTGAATATCATACCTGCTGAATAACAACACTGCCGCATAATGTAATTCTGTGTAATCTAATATTCATTAGTCCAGTGTGACTACAGGTAGTAAATTGAAATCAGAGAGGTTAATGGAAAGTCTGGACCCCTGAAACTAAACGCGATGACACGGCGCCTTACACTTATAATAAGAATATTCCAGCCAAGCATCTCCTCGTCCATTTAGGAGGCTAAAAAGGCGAGCTGATGCTGACGCTGGCACCTGGCCCTGTGCAAACGTGGCTCTGAATCAAAGAACATCCAAAGCACAGCTGATGAGGTCGGAACATTTGATGAATGATATATGTCATAAACTTCACTTCGCATGAAAAAGAGCATTCATTCATTCCTGCCCAAAGGCTCAAGCTCACCAGAATGCAGTGAAGGTTATTCCCAGCCACATCAGTGGAAGGACCTGGCAGAAGGGCCCATGTTTGTCCCTTGTTGTAGGTGATAAAAGTCTTGATGTGATTATCCACCAGTTTGTTGGCGAGATACATGCCATTTATCCCCTCAACCTAGGAAGGAAAACAGAAATGCGACTATGAAAAATAAAAGCATACATTACACAGAAAGGCTTCTGTCAGTGTTATTATTGTTCTTGTGTTTGTAGATTATTATTGATGCATTAACATGTAAGCAGCTATTACTGTAGCTGGTTGTTGTGGAGCTAATTTAACCACTTTATCTACACAGGGGCAGTTTAATCTACAACAATAAATCGTATTATTCATATTTTGAAAACAATAATATAAACGGATTGTATGTTTTGTATATATGTAAACTCTTAATGCGGTCGACTATAGCTGTGGAACATATGTGGTGGAGTAAAAAGTGCAATATTTTCCTCTTAAATGTAGTTGAGTGGAAATATAAGGAAGCATAAAATGGAAACATTAAAGCACCTCGAAATTATAATGATGTACAGAACACTACATGTACTTAATCACTTTCTATCACTGTATTCAGGTCACTTTTGAAGCCAAAATCATCTGTTGGTAAAAAGGGTTTGCTGCCTTTTAAAATGAATATTTTGGATTTTACACTGTTGGTCAGACAAAGTGAGCAATTTAAAAATGCCAGATAAAAAATATATTTTTCACAGTTTGCTTTTATTTTATAGACAAAACCACAAATCAATTATTCAATGATGAAAATAATTGCTGTTTTAATTATAATCACAGCTTAGTTAATTAACAGAGGTTTTTTTTTTTTACTTGTATGCGTTATAACTGGACGGGGAATTAGCTGCTCTGTGACAGAAGCAGCGGCCCGTGAACAAGACTGACTACACACCTTATAAAAGTCCACCAGTAGGTTACCAGCGGGTCCTCGGCTGGTTCTCAGATTCTCTAATGAAAGGGTAAAGTAGACCCCGGGGGAGTCTGAGATATACAGGCTGTAAGTATTGTTCTGATTCCACTCCTGAACTGCAGCAAAGACCTGCTTCTCATCTGTGCTGATGATATGCATGTCCTGTGAGAGGAACCAGAGGCAGATGGAAAGAGGCAAGGGGTGGGAATGAAATAAAATGATTTTTAAAAAAAAACCCAACAATCATGTTTCTTTATGATTATTTGGCAGGTATTTGGAGCTTACCTTTGGTAGACAATATTTAGGTAACTTCATCCGCTTGAAGGATTCTCTCATGTAGGAGACAAAGTAGCTGGCTCGTCCTGACTTCGTCACCTTTGCAATGAAATCAAAGAAGCTTTATCATTCTTTAAACACCACATTTACATATTTTAGTGTCACTTCACCCAACACATTGAATTTCCCTTTATGAGGTCAGTGACTTTTATTTGTACATTTCCAGTTTGATGCCATGGGTATGATTTTTATCCTACTATGTAGGCTGAAGAAAAAAAAAAACCACGATTGCAGGGTTTTTACAAGATGTACAATACGTGAGTGAATTTGCCAACATCCCAAATGTGAATCTGTTGTGAAATGAGGACATGATGCAAAAGTGTTTCCTGAAGGAGGTGTATTAATTCACAACGCATGAGTGACTCGATAAAACCCTCGCAATTTGACTCTGCTTTCCGCGCTGTCGAAAGCAGACTAAAATTACAAGCACAACAGAAATTATTATCATTATCTCAATTAGTCTAAAGCTAAGAGGCAGTGAAGATTGTGTTGGCTTTATCTACAGTGCAGCTTGAAGATCTTAATGCACTACCACTTTCCCATCCACTTACAGGCAGGCCAACACTACTTGATTGCTTATTTTCTAATCAACTAGAAGGATGGTGTTTGTCTCCCAACACACTACATTAGGGCTCTAATGGAATAATCTATCGAAAATCAATGAGCTGCATTTTCCCAGACCACATTTTTGAGGATGTTGCACTTGGCTGTTCCTTCTCTCCCATGAGACTTTGGAGGTGTTGAAGACTGCTTATTTCGTTGTAGCCCAATCGATAACCTCATTACTCTTTGTCAAGTTAAATCCAACTGCCCCAAGCAATGAAAGTCACAAGAAAGTCATCTCTGCCACCACAGCTCCGCGCAGACACTCTCCCTGTGTGTCCTGTTATTTTCAACAGCATCTTCCTCATGTCTGCCTCTGCCTTGACGGTCAATCTCATCTCAGCTAAATGCAATTTGGGCATTTTATTGAATCACCATTTCTGTATCACACTGTGATATATATATATATATATATATATATATATATATATATATATTTATTATTTTTTCATACATTTTCATTCTTACTTCACAGCCATTCCAATCAAGTCTGTGGATTAAGTGATCCTGAAAGAGAAACTGGGTCACCGCTAAAGTATAGCTGCTGTAACATCATATCATATCAAAAGATTAAATCTGTGGATAAATAAATTAAAAAATGAACAGCAAACATTTAGAGGTGTTTATTCAAAATGAAAAGGTTCGCTACCAACAGAGCACTAGAAAGCCACGCTCCTTTTATTTTTATTTTGCTGAAACTTAGCTGGAGTCTGCCAAGGATGAACAAATGCATCATGGCTGACCAAGAAAGAGAAAATTACTTCGCTGTGAATGGAAATCAATGACAGTTGAGGGCATTTGAAAATTAAATTTCTGATAATGACCCTGCCTGCCGCTGTCTAATTGGAGTCAAAGTCAGAGTGAATGGTAATAAGGACACCAACCTGTCTATTCACAGTTCCTTTGTCCTGTGCTCTCAGCAAGCAAACACATTTTTCAGGCATGGAGTGTGTCTGTGTGGAAACTCAAACACTGAGTGTGCCTTGACATGAACGAGACAAAACCTAATCAAAACACACATTGGGCCAGTGGGGAACAGGTGTGTCGGAGAAAGCCATTATATGGGTTTTGATGGAAAAGCATGAAGTGGATGCACAAGATACAGAAAATAAAAACAACAACAACAACAAAAAAAAAGAAAGAAAAGAGAAAATCAAAGTTCATGGACACAACAGCCTTTGTGTGAAAAGGTGAAGACAAGGTTTAACTTAATCCAGAAAAGTAATCTATCACTACGCAAACCTGTGTGAAAACATATTCATCCTGCACAACCAGTGAGTTGGTGTCTACATGTCCAGGAAAGAGGTACTGTCTGTTGCCATCTGTGCAGCGTTGGGCTCTGCACTTCACGTACTGAGCGCCTGGAAAGAGGCAAAAGGAAATCAATCAGAAGTAAATTACAACCATTTACTTTCAGACAGTACTTTATATGCACTGGAGCTGCTATACAGAGGCACTGCATATAATAAATATACTTTAAGTTCACTGTTCTGAAACAACTTTAATCTTGGACTGTGAATACAAGACAGCAGTGCGATCCAAATGAGCTGAGATTCAAGACTAATACAGTAGAAGCTTTTGCAGCGTGTCACACTTCAAAAAAAAAGTTCAGGATGTTATTGTGTGAGGCAAAAAGAGTTTGTATGCTAATTCAGATACAGATTTTCTCACCACAAGAGGAATATGAGTATCTATTCCAATGCATTAAATCCCTATAATTGGCCTAACAGAGTATACCATGCTGTTTAGAAGAGGGGAGTTGAGGTTTGTCTATGCGACACAGGGGATAGATTAAGGCGAAGCAACATCAATCAACCCACTAAAACTCTCCATTTTTGTCAGGAGACACCTATTCTGCTTTACTAGACCTTCGGGGACTAATCTGACCAGCAGAACGAGTCTCATCTTCCCCGTGACCTCGCTCTAAATGAGAGGCAAGGGGTCCTGTGGGTCTTGCTACTGTGGCAGACTGGAGTGCTGCACTCACGGCCTTTTGCGATGCGCGTTTCGATGTGGACCACATCTGATTCTTTGTCCAGCCCCATTACCGCCCTTGAAAGAAGCGGGAGGAGGAGAAGATGGAGAAGAGCAGAGAGAGGTGGTGGGGGGAAGAAAAGGCAAAAACGAGAATGGGAAGAGATGTGAGTATCACAACCGTAGATGTACATCTCTATTCTGTCAAACCAAAACAAGATGTTTTTTTTAGCTCCTGTAAATCACTCAGTGTAGGATCTCGGGCACCAGCAGCAATTAATCTCAATTCACTAAAGCATCAACATAGGAAACAACAAGGGGGGGGGGGCAAAACATCAGCTATTACCATAAATATCTACAATTGCAAATATGTGTTGATAAAAAATTGTAGGTGGTTGCAAAAGCATTTTGAAAAATAACGATTTGACGTAATATGCGTGAACAAATGGTTTTCAAGAGCACAAATAATGCATTCTTTCGGGTGCCAGTATACCCGCTGCGCTCTTCTTATTTATCAAATGTTTCACTATTCAACCATGTGGAGAGGATGTCCTCCAACCAATGTCCTTTCTTTTCCCAGCTAAAAAAAAAAAAAACACTTGGGTTTGACACATGCCATGACAAAGAGGGATAAACAGGCTCACATCAATATTCACTGCCTTGTGCCTGAGCAGTTGAGATTACTAAATGACAGCGACAACAAAAACAGCATGTCATGTTTGTGCTATGGAAAAAGAAGCACAATATTCCTTCATGTCTACGTGACATGGATATAATCAGTGTTGTGCTTGACTGCCACGAGTGAGATGTGTTTTTGACAAGAGGTCACTGGATCCTCCTGACAGCTTAGGGTCATGAACACTATCATTATGCAAATTACAATTAATCACTGTACAAAACAGTTCAAAAATAGGATGCAGATAATCATACCAGTAGAATCGGCCTGGCATCACGTTGTCGTGAACAAGCTGCCATTTCCTCCCAAAGTCCATTGAGCTGTACAGCTGCAAGATAAAATTAGGCTGATCTTCGTCACACTTTTAGGAGGAAGATTTTGTTAATGAGCAGCATCACAGTTATGATCACATCCACAGCAGAATCACATGAAAACAAAAGTTTTTTAAAATGCTAATGCATTCAGCATCACATATTATCTCATCTCCACTTAAAGCTTCATTGTGGATTCACTCAGAAGCTACCTTGCTGTCATGACTGTAAGCCAGTATCCAGTTCTCCTGTGCCGGGTGGAAGAGGAGGCTCAGGATGTTGAAGTTAATGGGATGCTTCTCAAAGCTTGCCCCTTCATCTGAACTGATGAGGACAGCGCTCTCTACCTCTGGGTCGCTAAGCATCATTATCTAAAGTAGGGAAGGCCAGACGAGGGATATGGCATCAGAAGAGGGAAAGAGACAGAGATACAGTCATTTGACAGCAATTTAAAAAAAAAAAAAACTGTAATTTTATGTCAGGAAAGAGCTTGTAAGAGATCAGACAGAGAGACAAAGCAACAGGGAAACGCTGACCTTCTGTTTGTTGGTAGGGCAGACGTACAGGTAACTTAAAACTGTCCTTGAACCCACTTTGTCATTGAGTTTGTTGTAGGTGCTTCCATAATCACTGGATCTGATTACAGAGAAAAGAAGAACATGTTCTGTGTTTGAAGAAAAAAAATATCCATTAGAGACCTGCCTGAAACAGACTTTAAAGCACCATTCCAGTGGTCTGGCATGTTTTAGCCCATTAACTACAAATCAGTTATTCTTTACGTGACTGCATCTCCAAAGCATACCATATCTGTTTAGATTGATTTTCAAGCAGCCTTTTTGCTTTAAGAGGAGGAAAATCAACGTGCACAGACTAGCTTCATGCTAATGCGTTGTTTGTGTTGCTCTTTTAAAGCACTTTGCTGCAATCCTGCAACAAATGTGCAACACTGAAAAAGAAATGTGATGTTATATGTCACCTACTGTAGGTACTCTTTATTCAACCAACATGTTTCAGCACAGGGTGGTGATGAAAAATCAGGTTTAACATTATCTATAGTGATTTTTTTCTAGCTGCTCTCATGACATCAATATGCATCTAAATCTACCTCTAATTCCAAAAACCTTATATGTAGGATGTGAAGACTGTAGGACTTAAATATTATGAATCAAGAGGATCCAGACACTGGAGTAAACTTACTTTAGATAACTTTTTTAAAAAAATGAAAATTAATTAGTCAAGTAAATCCTGTAGAACAAAAACAAAACAGCGGGAGTTCCCCGAGCAAACAATGGGGATCAGGGATTGGTTGTTAAATGCACATTTACAGCTCATTCATTTCACTGTCTGGTGATGATTTTAGTTAGAGCAGTTATGGCCTCTCCAAAAAGTTGATAGATTTATAGGCATTTTTAAGGCAGGAAAAAAAAAATTAGAAGTTCTCCAAATGCAAAAAGAAAGTCGCCACGTTATGAGTACATGCTACACACACTCTGTTAGTTTGAGGATGCACAAGCACACAGGTGACAGGACACATATCACTGCCAACTGCTGGAGACAGTAATTCAAATGTATAGCGCATGCAAGCTGTAAAATACAGAGAAGCGCAAAATGAACAGGTGAAATATGGTCAGGTGCAGGGAAGGACCAGGGAGGTGAAGGTGAGGCAGAAGTCAAAGCAAATAAACACATTTGCCTCAAAGATTGGCCCTGTCTATCAAATGAAAAGGGGGAGGGTACAGTTTATGACATCCCCTGGTTTATTCCACTGGTCAACAATTGGTGACAGTGATCAACTAAGAAACACAGCAGCAATTCAGACAGAGGGAAGGAAGTATGAGACTGCTAACTAATGTTAGCATGGATGTAAACATAGATGTCAACAATGCAGGTTTTGAAATATTCCAGAGAATTGGCCTTGCAAATGTTTTATGAGGAAGGAAATGCATTCAACAGGTTTCTTAGGCCTCAAGGGTGCATATAATGCATTTTTGTGTGTGACACTGAATTTAAAAATAACAGTGTTTACCAGAAAACTCCACAGGGCACCTTTAGCTTATTGTAAAAATTTGGGAAAAAAGTATCTTGTCTTTGTGTGGTAATGCATTAGCGCACAGGGGTTAATCTGAGAACTCCCTCTTGCTTGTGCATTAAAGGAGGCTCTGACTCCAATGATCTTTGACAAGCAGCAAGAAAATACCAATATCAATAGAAGCATTAAAAAGATTGACATATTCATATTCATTAGGCATGTCCTACTCCAACTGCAATAATGCAGCTTTGACAAACACAATATGCAAAGTAAAAATTCACCATACATACTGTATGTCAAGCAAGTTTCAAGTATTTGCAAGCTGATTTTCATGCTACACAGATGTGCACTGAAACCAGCGGCAGCCTGCAAGGTAGGAAATGAATTTATGAACTTCAGATATGCGCTGGAAAATGGTCAGCACTAACATAAGTACGCTAAATGCAATTTGTTATTTAAGGGCTAAAACATCCAGCACAGGCGTAGTCCTTGAATATAGCAACACTGTGAGTGATGTAAGCCATTATTCTGCCTTTATGCTTGTGGATATTGGTGCACTGAAGACAGTGAGGAAGGAATTTAAAGACATCCTTTCCGGGGGAAGCAATGAAGTCACCTTTGATATAGTTTTTTTTTTTATCTTAAATTAATGGCAGAATGGCCAGCATTTGTTCTCTCAGTTTTCATCCTCTTCGTATTCAGCAGGGAAAGCTTGAGTGTGCTACTCTGTTGCAATAGTGCAACAGAGCAGCAACACAAAAGTGATGAATACAGGTTCAAGATTAAATATTTATAAAAGCAGATAAAAAGAAGATAAACAAATGATCTAGTTCTTGATCCTTATTAATTAATGGCCTGTATTTAAATTTAGGTTAGTCACAACATGTAAAGAATACGGGCAAGTCCATGTATCCCATGACAAGGGTAGATGTGTCATCCCAGTTTTCATATTTCTCCTCACCACAAACAGCCAATCCAAGCTCTCAGTTCTACCTGAGCGCCTCCAAATGTAATTTCACTGCATAATTGGATAGATACCCAGAGCCTGCTATCATTGTCTGTGCATTAATCTGAATCGTCCCATTTGTTGTTGACATTGTTTTCAAAGACTTACCCCTAAACACATTTGTATTTGCGCTTAAGTACTCCTTTCGCTTGGCATATCTGTCTGTGATTGTGGCAGCAAGAGGAAGACTCTTAAATTATGTTATAACATCGTGAAGTTTCCTTTACCAGTAGGCAATCATCTCTAAACATAAAGGGACTTGATGCGTGTTTAGATAGCTTCTGCAAGTCAACCCATTGATCTGCACATTGCATTTTGCCACCCAGACCGGCCTGGAGCTATAGTCATAAATCATTTATCATGTTATCACAGAAATCATTTACTCCCATTTCTTTTCATAACATTCAAATCTTGGCTACTCTAATACACATACTAAGAGCCTTTGTGCACCCCCTGAGGTACACTCTAATTTACTCATGGTGCCATTGTTAAGCAGACACCTTGATGATGGAAGACCTCCTGTACACAATATGGGATTTCAAAACGTGTCAAGTCGGGTGTAAATCTTGCTGGAGCCTCTGGTGAAACATATTAATTTGAATCTCTATGCTTGGCGGACTTATGGTCTCTTTTTCACGTGTATTTCAGAAAGAAATGAGTTCTCTGCAGGCTATGGGAGAGGTGAGAAAAGAGGCATATCAAAGGCTGGATTGTGCTCTATGGTATAATCCTTAATGAATTCCATTCTTATTTATGACCTGACAGCACACTGTAACTCACCTCTCAATACATACTGAATGGAATTACAGGAGCTGTACAGTAGCAATTGCATGTCAATTGCTTCTGAAACAGAAGGTTATGGATGACAATCAATCAAAAACTCTGGGAGGAAATTTCTAGGTCAGAGGAAAAGAGATCCAGAATCCCTCAGATAAGTCTTCCAGTTTATCTTTCAAAAATAGCCTTTCAAAAAAGTTTCTCTTCTTGTGATGGACAGAAAATAGGTTGGGCCTTTTCTAAAAGGTCACTTCAGTCTTAGGTGTGTTATTTATGGGACTGTGGGAAGCAAAAAGGAAGCTTCATTCTGAACTGCTTCAGATTGCTTTATTAAAACATTATCATATTGGCTTCCACTTTGACTTGATTGTTCATATCCTAGCAAGGAGGAACACCATAAATCATACTCACTGTGCACTGAAAGCTCTATGAATATATTATTCTTATTGTTTTTAGGGACTTTTGCATTTTTATAAAATTCTTGCAATGATGCCATAACTTTTCTATTTAGACGGAAAAGGAAAAATAGCAGCAATTAAAAATGAAAACTCACCTCCAGAGCGAGCTCTCGGTAACAGCCCCCAGGTTGAAGTCATACAGCTTAGTCAAGATCAGGATCACCTACAACATAAGAGCAACAGACACATATAATTACATGCCAAGGTCTGGTCTAAAAAGCCTTCGCATGAGTGCCTCACTAGCATACATTACCTGTCTATACCTAATGATGTGGAATGAATACAACATGTCTGCTTCATCTCTTTACTAATAAATATCAGCCTCATACAGTATGTTATCCCAATGACAAGTGATGCTCGTGTTGTCAGGAGATGTCAGTCTGCTGGTGGCAGGATCTGAAAAAAATCCAATGCGGGCTGTCAAGAGTTGCATCTGTATCTCATGTGGAATGATACCTACATGACAGCAAAATGTGAACATAACTGTTCAGTGAACAATGAAAAGAAATGCAGTAAGTGGCTGCACTGCACCGCCCTCTTTCTTTCCCTTTCTCTTTTTCTCTTTTAACTTTTGTCTTGCTTTTACCTTCAAAATAGTGAAGTAGTTTAGCTGCAAAAGCACCAACAAATGTTGATCTCAAATATTGATGGAAGATGTTGTGTTATTTAACTCATTGGAAGACATCCAGTTCCAGTTTGGGCTAAATGCTTTTGCGTGTTCTCTGAGGATGGTTGGACAATGTGTTTCTGGGGAAGCAAAAATGTGGCCCATAAAAGCCTGCCAAGGCACAGAGGGCAGAGTGAAATGGTGTGCAAACACATTATTGTCACTCCAATGGCATTATAAATGACTTCCCATGGGGATGCTCATAACTCAGCTTAGAAAGGGGGGTGGCGGGGGGGTAGAGTTTGGGGCAGGGCGTGGAGGGAGGAATCAAGAAGCAGAAACATGGCATAATATGACGAGTTTTTTTAAATGCCTGAAAGATAGGTCAAAAGCTCAATTACAGTGAGTTTAAACACATTAACCTTATGGGACCCATGGAACGAGTCATTAAACTGAGAAAAGCCACACAAGACTCAGAGGAACAAAGACATGCCTCTAAGTCTGCTTTGAAAATGTTAAAAACCCAATTGACCCACAATTTAGCCATCAAACGGCCACTGTGCATGGCTGGGACTATCTGCATTACAGGTTAATTAACCAATCACACAGAGAGATAAGCATTTGCATAACTAAATGCACCATGTCTGCAAGGTCCAACACTGGAGTCTGAATCAATTTGGAGTACAGACTTAGTTAAATGGCTGTGATGTTAGACCTAATTGCCTGCTTTGAAAAATAGATACGAGAGAAAAACTCTGCCACACTGTTGATCGTTTGTCTCTTCAGTTCTTTTCTACAAACAACAATGACTCTGTGTCATGGGACATTATAAATACTACAAGGTAAATTGAATCTGGAATTGATTTTATCAGTGTCAAACTAGAGGCAGTTCAGTCCTAACCAAAGAGACTCAAATAGCACAGCAAATTAACAGAGTGAACAACAAATAGACATTCACAGTTTTATGGGTTTCAATCACTTGCGCCATTTTGCACGTGGATCCAATTTAATCAAACGCTCACGAATTCAGATGAGGATGTAAAATAACCTTTAAAAATAGCCCCAAACGGCAAAACTTGATAACAAAAAGCCTCCCAGCACCAAAGCTGCACTTGCCATTAGGAGCTTTGTCTTAACTGCTGTCAACGTGTTTGTATGGTTGGCTCATTAACAAAAGCTGACCCACTGAATTGGGTCAGTGAAGATCTACCTCAGGGACCAACAGACTAGTGAGGCAGATGACTGTTTGGATGATTTGTCCCTAAGTGGATACATCAAGAGTACATCACTGGAGACTGTGTGTTCCCACGTCTTCAACATTATTGATAGGCTGTGCATCTGTGGCTCAAGTCAATAGGGAGCAACTACTATACATGCAAATGCTGGGACCAGTGGGGAGAGCACATGATTTGGACAGCAGATGCGCAACTCGCACTGAGAAGACCCGACAAATGAAGTCGCATTAAACGCAAAAATTCTAAGAGTTTATGGTGAAGTAGTGCATTTATGTAAATACAGGGAACCAACAAACACAAAATGGCTTCCAGAATTATTTTGAGCCTTCTAGGTAAATACAATTCTCCATGCATATCATCACTCACTTGCATACATGAAATTAAGTAAGGACCCTGGAAGGCCAAAAGCAGTGCATTTATTCATGTTTATGTTTTATTGATGTGAGCAAAGAGAGCTTTGCCTCAGGAAAGTCAACCAATCATTTTTCAGATTGGCTCTCACCCTCAGAGGAGTTGGGTTTAGTCATCCTCTTATCCTAACATTCTATTCTTGTTGCTTTCTTTCCCTTCTTTGATTTCCTTTTCTCCTTCTTTCTCTCTTTTTTTTCTTGTCCCTCTCTTTCTTTCATTCTTTCAATCCGTCTGTCTTTCTTTCATTTTCTTCTCTGCCTTTAAAAACAGGCTCTCTAGGTACTTTCTTTTGCTGTGGCTTTTTTTTGCATCCACCATTTAAAAGGAGGAATCTGCACACATGGAGAAGTGATTAAAAAAAATAGAACATCATAGTCAGGTGCTTTTTGGCCATGCAACAGTTTTAACTCTTTCAGATGGCTGAAGAGACAGCCTCCATAGCAACACAGCTATAATGTCATTGTGATATACCGTATCCACACAAATGTCTCATCCACACACACACAGACCTACACGACCCACTTGCACAAGCGTTCAAGCATTCAGCATATGAATGTATGGAGCATTCACAGACAGACTGTTGGACCAAAGCAAATCTTCACAAATTCCCTATCAGTTTTTTTCTTCATTTTTTTTTCTTTTTTTTTTTTTAAGTGAAATGCTCAAATTTTTAGAGTGCTTCAGTGGGACGTGAGAGGCATCTCAACACCATGTTGGTGGGCAGAAAATTTTCTACACAGCTCACAATTTAGGTATGAATCATCTCTGTCTGTGCTACAACATGGCTATTAATAAAATGAAATCATCTGTGCAGTTTTATTGTGCTTTCTAACACACCATACTTCAAATGAAACCTGTTGCATATTCAGCCCCCAGTAAAGCATCATTAAGACAGCACCCCTCAAATATTATTTCTGTCTAATTAGTCAAGGGAAAAAACCTACCCCAACTATACACATCACACCTCCAGATTGTTGTTTCTTTTCTGCTCAGGAGTAACACATCATGGGAAGAAGTAACAATCTTTAGAAAAGTGAGAAATACAGCCACTTTCATGTAGATCTGCCACTGTTTTTGAACCTTGCTCGAGGGGACAACTGAAGGATCTAAATTAATTTCCAAGGGACCCACAAAGTTGAAAACAGTGAATGATGTAAGGCTCTTTGTAATAACTCTGCTAACGGCTCATGCTCAGAGAAGCATTGACACATATCTCTATTTTCTTTACCTTTAGCATCCTCTGAAAAGTTCACTGCAAAAATGATACACATTTACATTCTCATAAATACACATAAGCTTTTGTATATGGTACTGTAGGGTAAACACATCCATACACATAGACATCTCCTGGGAGTAACCCCTGTCTATTTACCTCCCCTGAGTCGAACCACAAAATCAAAATCTCTGACAACTCACTGAAATGTGTTGATGCTAATTAAATCTTTTTCTTAAATATAAGCTTTCATAATAAGCTGCGTCTTCTCAGATATGCCAGCTTTTTTCTTTCAGCTGTCTGGAGGTCAGTGTCTGTGACCTTATCAGAGTTGATGAAAAAGGTTCATTTTGAACCCATGGAGTGATTGCCGACAGTCCATGTGTGCAGTGGTTCATCTGTTTATCTGGGCTGTGTGCATATGCACTTGTACAGTATATGTGTGTGTATTTTTGTGGGCTTTTCTATTTGGCAACGACAGAGAAAGTGTCCTGTAATACAAAATCCTGTAATGATTTATAAAGGTAATAACCTTTAAATTTATATATTTTTTGACATTTTTATACCTTACTATACTATGAAGTTTTTATGCCTTTCTATACTATGACGTTTTATGACATTTTTTTAACTAACTATACTATGATGTTTAATGCCTTTCGATACTAAGACTTACTGCACTATGACATTTTATGCTTTGCTATACTATTATGTTTTTTGCCATTTTTATACCTTAATATACTATGACTATAACGATGATATTGTAGTGGTTAGAACTGTCGCTTCTCAATTAGAAGCTTCTGGGTTCAAATCCCGCTCCCAGGGCCTATCCATGTGGAGGTACTCCAGCAACTGCCCATGAGTCCAAAAACTTACATGTTAGGTTAGTAGGCAACTCTAAATAGCTTCTTCATTGCCTACTATACGATGACATTTTTGACGTTTTAATGCCTTACTATACTGTGACGTTTTTTGTGTTTTTATGCCATACTATACTATGACTTTTTCATGCCTTACTACACTATGACATTTTTGACGTTTTATGCCTTACTATACTGTGACCTTTTTTTGCATTTTTATGCCATATTATACTATGACTTTTTCATGGCTTACTATACTATGATGTTTTTTGTTGTTTTTATGCCTTACTAAAATATGTTGTTTTTTGACGTTTTTATGCCATGCTATATTATGACTTTTTCATGCCTCACTACACTATGACATTTTTGACGTTTTATGCCTTACTATACTGTGACATTTTTTTGCGTTTTTATGTCATACTATACTGTGAATTTTTCATGCCTTACTATACAATGACGTTTTTTGTTGTTTTTATGCCTTACTACAGTATGTTGTTTTTTGACGTTTTTATGCCATGCTATACTATGACTTTTTCATGCCTTACTATACTATGACGTTTTTTGGCATTTTTATGCCTTATTATATAATGTAATTTCATTCCTTTCCATACTATGGCATTTTTATGACATTTTATGCCATACTATACTATGACGTTTTATGCCTTACTATACCATGAAGTTTTTGACGTTTTTAGGCCTTACTATACTATGACCTTTTTTGTTGTTTTTATGCCTTACTACAATATGACGTTTTTTGACGTTTTTATGCTATACTACACTGTGACGTTTTATGCCTTACTATACCATGAAGTTTTTGACGTTTTTAGGCCTTACTATACT